AAGTCCGGCTGCGTGCAGACCTCGGAGGAGGAGTGTTCAGTGAGTGCAGGGGCCCTTTCCCACCATCCCCATGGGCTGAGGGCTGCTCCTGTTGATGCCTCTGTGGCCCTGGGCTTCTCRGTGATGCCTCCTCTTTCCCCTCTCCTGCAGTCCACGCTGGCCGTATGGGTGAAGTGGCCCCAYCACCCCAGCACACCAATGCTGGCAGGAAACAAGAGGCAGTTTGGATCCGTTTGCCACCAGGACCCCAGGTAGGTCCTGCCTAGCCCAGCCGCTGTCCTGGGGCACTAGTGGARTCAAAGAGGCTCAGTGGCCTTGCTGGGCAGGCAGCAGCTGCTTTCAGGACCAAGGGACGTGTGGGTGGGGATGTTCTCACCCACCATGACAGTTGGTACGGGTCAGGATCCCTGGCGAATGGCAGGTGCTGAGGGTGGCTGGGGGTGCAGGGTGGTTTGAGGCAGAGCTTGGGCTCAGGCTGGCCCTGCTCAGTGGTCAGCAGCCATGTTGCCAGCACTGGGTCACCATGGTTGGGATAAGCTGCACCCCTACGTGGGGTCTCGTGGTCATGCGCACCTGGAAAGGAGCTTGAGCTGCAGCCAGATACTGGCACTGTGAGCTGTCCTGGGGCTGCCTTCTGCTGCTCTTGGGCTCTGCCTSCCGGAGGCAGACTGACCCCTGCTCGTGCCTTGTATCAGCAGGCCCTTGTCTGATGATGGCAGCATGTTGTCAGCTCTGTCCCAGGGCAGGAGAAGACCCGTGGTCATGGCTGGGGCTCTCAGGGTGATCCCACCTGCTGCTGCTCGTGGCAGGGGAGGCAATGTCTCTGGGTGATCTTGGATTTCTGTTGCTGCAGGGTGTGTGAGCAGCCAGCCTCGACAGAGCCGCACGAGTGGCCAGACGACATCACCAAATGGCCGGTGAGCATCACCATGGCACGGGCTGTGCTGGCCTTGGCAGCCCTGGGCATCTGCAGAGCAGAGACACAGCAGTGTTGGTGGAAAAGGCCCTGGCGCGCTGGGGCAGCCTCCTGCTGGTACAAACACTGGATCAGGGCAGCCTTGGCTTTATCTAGCTAAGGCCAAGGTGTTCCAAGGTCTCTTGGGGGCCCTGCCAGGAGAAGGACTCAGTCAAAGGACTGTTTTCCTCACTCAGCAGCTGGTGGTGGTGATTCAGGCCCTGGTGGCCCAGGTGGATGGGGTGGAAGGCACCTCTTGCTGTCTGAGGAAGGCATTGGGAGCCCCTCTCTGTGGCACTGGCTTCTTGCCAAGGGGCTGCTTTGAGCCCTCCCAGACAGCAAGCAAAGCCAGGGTTGTCTCATGGCAGCCTGTTGTCACCTTCCAGATCTGCACAAAAAACAGTGCTGGGAATTACACCAACCACCTTCACATGGACTGTGTGATCACAGGCCGGCCCTGCTGCATTGGGACCAAAGGAAGGTAACGAGTTTTACAAGTCTGGAGAAGGGCTGAGCATTGGGAGTGAGATGCAGGGGTCCTTGTCAGGGAATACCCACAGTTGTTTGTCCTCTTCCTGCCTAGAGCACTGCTGGGAAGGAGAAATCCAACAGGAAGGTGTGACAGGTCTCCCAGATGGAGCAGAGCTCTGGGGCGAGCATGGGAAATGGCCAGTCTGAGTCCTTGGTGTGGGTCAGGATGTGTCATTCCACTGTTCCTGCAGTCCAAAAGGACTCGTATCCCCGGGGATTAATTACTTGTCCCGGGTGAGGGGTGGGTTCAGCAATTTCCCTTGGGAATGACGAGTGCATTCCTGACATGCTGCATTGGACCAGCGTGGTGTCTCTGGGCATTCACGGAGATACTTGAGATGATCTGCCCTGTGTTTGCTGAGCAAGAAGACATTCTTCTTCATGTTGCTCCTCAGCTTGACTAGCTACCCAGTGCTTTGGCCTGCCTTTTTCTTGATACTGAGAAAAAATCAGTGCTGCCTTGAAAACTTTCCCTCTGTCCCTGAAGATCATGATAGGACCCTTGGCCTAGCCCCTACTGTCTGCTTTGCCAGCTGTCCCCCAGCCACAAAGATCCAGATCCCCCAAGCTGTAGTAACTCACCTCACTGATGAGATGTTTGCTCAGCATCCCTGCAGGCAGGATGTTAGTGTGTACGGAGACTTGGGCTTGTGTTTGGCAGGGWGGCAGGAGGCAAGTGCTGGAGAGTGGTACCCAGCTCGCATGGGAATGTATTAGTGCATGCATTGCAGAGACACTGCAGCCTGTTGGGAGCAGTGCTCAGGGCTAGATGTGGGATGGGGGGAGTGGGATTAGGTGGCTCAGGGGCATGGGATGGACCTCTGTGCCATCCATGTGACATATATTTCTCCTTTCATTTACTCCYGCCCTGCCCAGGTGTGAAATAACCTCCCGGGAGTATTGTGAATTCATGCGAGGCTATTTCCACGAGGAGGCGACGCTCTGCTCTCAGGTACCTGCGAGCGGAGATTCCCATGGTGGCGCGGCCCCTTCCTGCTGGTGCTGCGGGAGGGAGTCCCTCATCCTGCCACAGGCTGAGCCCGGCTGCCCAGTCCCACCTCGAGCCCTGGGGAGGCTGCTCATACGGCTGGGGACACATGGCCTTGTGTTGGAGGCAATTTGGGGACTGGATGCAGTGGAGAAGAGAGGAGAGCCCCTTATTCAGTTCTTATTCAGAACTAGCCATGGTCTCTGTGCCCACAGCGCGACCCTGCGTTTGTCACCCTAGGTGCACTGCATGGACGACGTCTGTGGCCTCCTGCCCTTTCTAAACCCAGAGGTCCCCGACCAGTTCTACCGTCTCTGGCTCTCGCTTTTCCTCCATGCTGGGTAAGCAGAGGCATGAAGCTGCTGGAGCCTGAGGGACCCCTGGGCCCTGGCGCTGGGATTGGTGAGGGCTGCCGGGAAGGCCCTTCCCTGGGGACCTGGGGGGCTGAGCTGTTGTCCTGCCAAGGTTGTGGAGGAAGTGTTTGGTGCTGGGGTTAGAGGGCTGGGTCAGGCYCGGAGCCCTCCACAAGGCTGGGCAAGAGAGGCCAGCGAGGACAGTGGGTGACTGCAGCGGGTGCGCCTTCAGCTCCTGTGCTCTGAACTTGGCAGGATCCTGCACTGTCTGGTTTCAATCTGTTTCCAAATGACGATCCTGCGGGACCTGGAGAAGCTGGCAGGATGGCATCGCATTTCTATCATCTACCTGCTCAGTGGCATTACTGGGAACCTTGCCAGTGCAATATTCCTACCCTACAGAGCAGAGGTGGGTCTCCTACAGACTAGGGTCCCACTAACCTGCCCTGAGACTGCTGTGCTGAGCACAGGCCTTCTCCATGTGCCTGTGGTGGGCTGGATGGCAGAGGCAGAGAAAGCAGAGTGGGGCTCATCTCTGCAGCACACGGCTTGTGCAGATTTGTCRCTAGACATCAAACTGCTAAACAGTAAATTCCCTCCCAAAACCTCCCTGGACCTTCTAAGCAACTGGCCTGTTTTGGCTCCAGTAGGAAGGCCCCATCTTGCCATGAATGGGCTAATGCTCCTTGGCCAGCCGGAGCACAGGAGGCTCCTGGGGGACAGGGAATTGRTATCTGCAGCTAGTGCCAGAGACCTGCCACGTGTGGGCAGCAGGCAGCTGGGGGTGAGGGCAAAGAGCAGTCTGCATTCCCCACCCTGTGCTCAGGACTGTTCTTGTCCGTGTTCCACAGCTGGGGAAGTCTGATGTGACCATCCAGCTTCCTTCCATGACCTTCGCATGACCATATGGCAGGATCTGGAGAACTGTCTTCCAAGAATGGTCCTTCACAGAGTTTGGGGTAAAGGGAGGGAAAAGGGAGCTTGAGTCTTCACCTTGGTGACTCAGACTACATCAGCCTTCCTTCAGCATAAAGTTAACTCTGGCAATTGTGGGCCTCATACATACCTCATTCCCAAGATCCAATTAGGCATTTTACTCCTCAAACTACATTTTTAAGGACAAAGGCTCAAGCTGTGGCATCTCCTTGCTAAGATCCACAAATTCCCGAACAAGGAGCCAAATGTCAGACAACTGTAATGCCTGGAGCTGGCTGCAGAAGCCAGGCGGGTGGCGTGTGGCTGATGTTACTCATACTGCTCTTCTTCTGCAGGTTGGCCCTGCAGGATCCCAGTTTGGGATTCTGGCCTGTCTCTTTGTGGAGCTCTTCCAGAGCTGGCAAATCCTGGCACGCCCATGGAGGGCCTTCTTCAAGCTGCTGGCTGTGGTGCTTTTCCTTTTTGCCTTTGGCCTCCTTCCTTGGATTGATAATTTTGCTCACATTTCAGGATTTATCAGCGGCTTCTTCCTCTCCTTTGCCTTCCTGCCCTACATTAGCTTTGGGAAGTTTGACTTATATAGGAAGCGATGCCAAATTATAGTTTTCCAGCTCATCTTCATTGCACTCTTCTCAGGACTTGTGATTCTGTTCTATTTCTACCCCATCAAGTGTGAGTGGTGCGAATTCCTTACGTGTATACCATTCACAGACAAGTTCTGCGAGAAATACGACCTGGACGCACAGCTCCACTGAAAGGCAAAGACTGGCTTCTCGAGCAGGCCCTGGAGATGGACTGTCTTTGCATTTGCTGTGCCACTTCCCTATGGACAGAGTCGCTAATCCAAATGACACTTCTAACCCTGCCCGTGGTTAATTTAAACGGTCTCCTTAGCACTTGGCAGGCATGATTTGCCTTATCTCAGAAGACTCTGAAAACAGAATGTTTGTGCCTTGTTCAATTGTATTGAACCTTTTCTGCTGCCATTATTTTTATTACACTAGTTTCAATACTACATTTTTAACCAGAGTTGTTTACTACTGCTAAGGTGGTGATTAAATGGCAAGGTAGCGTTTTAGCTACTGTTAATTGTTCCGCATAGTCTGTGGCTACATTTGTTACTTTATCTCTTCTATGCTCTTTCCTGCACCTGTAGGTTAACTGCTTTCCTAGCACCCAAAACAGAGTCAGACAGGGGTTTGCAGCTGGAAAAGTAAAGACCACAAAGCATTAGAAAACTGCAGGGCTTCTTTAATCTCCGAGAATGGACACAACATACAGCTCTGAGGCACATTTCAAACAGCAACTGCAAAAGCTGCGGCAGGCAGGAGCTTYCCATCAACTGTGAGTCTGTTTCTCTCTGAAATGCTTCAACCTTTTCCTCAAGGAAGGAGCAGAATCCACAGCCTGGTCTTGGCACAGCTGCCTTCTCTTCTCCCTCCATTAAAGACAGAAAAAAAAATGATAGGGACAATAGTTACTACATGCTGAGCTCTCCTATTACCACAGTACYAGGTCTGGAGTGTCTGTGGGGATCAGTCACTGCCACAGGTGACCAGTGATCAGTGGCACCACCAGGCAGAGCTCCTCTCTGTGTGCACATTTTCTTGTGGATGCTGTGAATATGGCAGCATTGAAAGAGGAAAAATGCTACTGTTGTCACAAAATGACRTTTTCTAACCCTGACAGAGTTGCAAATCAAAATGAGGAAACAGACATTTGGAAAAACTGGTATTACCACTGCTTTTCAGAGTCTTAGATGCAGTTTTAAAAGGGTGGAATAGGTAAAGTGGCACAAGTTTACGCTTACTCAGCTGGAAAGCCACACCATGCATTTATATATGTACATTTACATATATATATATATATATATCTTAACTGACAGTCTGATGCTTAAATCATGATGGCCGCAGGGGCTACATACAGATACACACATATTTACAGCACTTCTTGTGCTGGAAGCATCTCAGATGCATCAAAARTACCAGGAACCAAACTTGTCTAACAGTTTGTCCTATCTTCCTAGAACAATGAATCAACTGAATTTAAGTTTCCGAAAATCAGAAAATGGAGAAACTGAGGACAAAATAATATGGAACATAAGCTAAGGTCTCTCTTCTCTAGCTTGCAGGAAGATAGTTTGAAATGCACCGTCTGTTGAACAGCGTAGAACATGGTGCTTTGTTTGCTCTTGCATTTGTTTATAGGCACCCAAGGGGCTTTTCTCTTATCTGTGGGTGCTCTCGTGGTACAGAAAGGAGCTGGGGGCAGGATGTGAGGACAGCTGCTCTCTTCTGTCTGGAGACAGTCTGAGACACAAAGGAGGATCAAGTGAGCTGGGTGATGGCTATCAACAGCAGGCACAGAGAGACCTTTTTCATSCTACAGATAATTTAGCAGCCTCCCCCATTCCTGACAGCGAGCTCCAGAGATGATGAAGCCTAAAARGAAGCAACATCCTCAAAGCAGATTAAGGGCAACCAAAGAAACACGGCCCTCAGTCGCAGGATATGGTGGGAGCAGAGTCAGTCCAGCTGTAAAACACGCTTAGAGATAAGCCCTTGCCAGCACTAAGGTACCTCATTGTAGGAGCAGCAGCAGCGTGAACAATACRCTGTGTGAGCAGCCAGTCTTGAAAAGAGCTACTCAGGCTACAAATCCAAACAGTGAAAATGGACCAGACCAGGTGTGAGGCTCATGCAGACGTGGGCATTTTGGAATGCTCTGCTAAGCAGCGAGGAGCAACCCCACCAGCTACTGCAAGCACTTGCCCTAAAGCCCTGGGAAAATGAATGTGAGCGGGTAATTCTTAATGGGGCTTTTGGGACTTACCTGACACGTTACTTTCGGAGTTTCTTTATGAAGCTGACCTCATCGCGGTTTCTAATGCCATACCTGAACAGAGAGTTAGGCTGTTACGTGCTAATTCCAGTGCAGGAACCACTGCCTTTGCCTGACATCCTGTCAGCCTCCTCTTGCCCCTGGGGAGATGGACTCATCCTTTCAGGTGCTGGGCTCCAGTGCAGAACAAAACCAAGTTCTCACCGCATGAGTATACCCTCGTGCCAGCACTCCAGGAGGTGATCATCTGCCCTTTAAACTGCAGTACACACCCCAGCCTACTCATGGATAGGTCTTTCAAGGAGACTTTGCTTAGGTAGAGCTGTCTAGGGATTTTCCATGCTTTTGTACAAGCTGCTGGAGATCATTCCACCACCACCCGCTGTGGTTGGACAAGGGGAAGTCCAGAGGTCCCCTGACACAGTGGCATGGGTCAATCCATGGCCGGGTGTAGGCTACATGGACAGCATGAACCCGAGTGGCTGCTCGGCCGGCAGACCCCTGCCCACTCACTCTCTCAGCTTCTTCCTGTCATCTGCCAGCTTCTCTCCGGCGTAGGTCAAGTGGTAAGTCCTCCATATGTACTTCCTGGGGGGGAAGCGCTCAGGGGGTGCCGCGCAGACGGCGGCACCGGTGGGCGAGCAGCTGCGGTGCCTGACTCACCAGCTGAGGTGCTGGACGCCGCCCTGGCGCGCCTGCCGCAGCTGCACGTGCCGCCGCAGAGCCTTCTTGAGGTCCAGCACCGAGGCGTTCTGCACCACCACCACGGCTGCAAGAGAGGCCTCAGCGCCCACCCGGCCGCCCCCAACACCCATTGTCCAGTGGCACCCGCTCCCAGGACCCCGGCCATCCACCTGGCACCCTGCTCCCCATGCCCATGCCCGCYTTGCTCCTKCTCTGGATAYCTCTGGCCATCCAGCATCCCTATCCACCCGACACCCTGCTCCCACTATCCCTGCCGCCCGGCAGCTGCTCCTGACACCCCTGGCCCTCCAGCACCCTTACCCACCTGGTGTCCTGCTCCCACTACCCCTGCCCGCCCGGCAGCTGCTTCCACACCCCTGGATGCCTTGCTCCTACTCTGGATATCTCTGGCCATYCAGCATCCCTATCCACCCGGCACCCTGCGCCCGACACCCCTGCCCGCCCGGCAGCAGCTCCTGGCACAGCTGCGTGCAGAGCACCCGCTCCCAGCACCCCTGCCCGGCCGACCCCTCTCCCCGTGCCGCCCCGCGCCGCCACGCACGCACGGTCTCGCCGTCCGCCTTGCACACGCGCACGGTCATGGCCTGGCCGTACTCGAGCGCCACCTGCGAGCCGATCTCCTCGGGCGTCACCTGCGGGCGGGCCGGGGCCGTGAGGCGCGGGCCGGGGCCGCCCCCCGCGCGCCGCCCGCCCGCCCGCGCACCTGGGGCGGCAGGTCGCAGAGCAGCGGGTCCTGCACGAGCCGCGCCAGCGCCGCCTGGAAGAGCTCGAGCACCTCGGCGTGCGCCAGCTCCTCCTCGGCCTCCGCCATCGCGCCGCCGGAAGGGGCGGGCGCCCGCCGCCATGCTGCTCTTCTGCCCGGCCTGCGGCAACGTGCTGGTGGCCGAGGAGGGGCCGCGCTGCCACCGCTTCGCCTGCACCACCTGCCCCTACGTGCGCAACGTGACGCGCAAGGTGCCGCGGCGGGACGGGGCGCGGCGGGACGGGGTGGGGGTCCCGGCGGTGCCGGCGCCCGCTCACCGGCCCGGCCGCCCGCAGGTGACGAGCAGGAAGTACCCGCAGCTCAAGGAGGTGGACGACGTGCTGGGCGGCGCGGCGGCCTGGGAGAACGTGGACTCCACGGCGGGTAGGGCCGGGTTGCGGGGCCGGGGCGGGCCTGGGGGCGGGTTGCGGGGCCGGTCCCGGTCCCGGGGGGGTTGCGGGCCCGCCCGGCGCTCAGGGCCGCCGCCTCGCCCGCAGAGCCGTGCCCCAAGTGCGAGCACCCSCGCGCCTACTTCATGCAGCTGCAGACGCGCTCGGCCGACGAGCCCATGACCACGTTCTACAAGTGCTGCAACGCGCAGTGCGGCCACCGCTGGAGGGACTGAGCGCCCGCGCCGCCAATAAAGGCGCCCGTGCCCGGGAACCGGCCTGGCCTCTGCTGCTGCTCTGGGGGGAGGCTCGGGGGGGCCGCCGTGACGGACCCGCCGTGTGGCGCGGGGTGGGCCCGGCCGTGAGGCCTCGTCCCGCCAGGGGCAGTGGTCGCACCGAAAACGCACCCCAAGCCAGTGCTGTGGGCGCCCAGCACCAACACCCTGCGGAACCGCGGCTCACAATACCCAGCGGGTGACGCTGGGGGAGCCTCGGGTGGGTAACCGGGGGGCACGGGCGGCACCTGCCACGGTGGGGGACACAACACGGGCAAAGGTGGGGATACGGGAGCAGGAAAGGGGCTTCCCGGTGCCCTGCCGCGGCCAGGAGCAGCGCCGGCCTGCGGAGGCTGGATGTGCCTGGCAAAATCACACACTGCGATAAACCCTGCGCAGGCCGCACGGCTGCAGGTGCGCGTGGAGCTGCGGGCCGCTGCAGGAGGGGCTGGCGCCGCAGCCGCCTCCTTGGGCAAAGAGGCAGAGTCAGCCTCACTGATCACCTCCAGCACAAAAACAACACAAGCGTTCTGGAGAAAGGAAAATGCAGGGTTTTATAAACAGCCCAGTTAGMGTTCACAGCCTGCCAAAATAACCTTGCATAAGAATGCGTGACAAAGAACCAGTGCCAGAACTGAAACAGCAGCAAATGGGCATTGCACAGAATCCTACTRCCTGTTACCAGTGCATCTACATAGCAAAGAAGGTGAACAAGGTGCACATCTACATAGCAAGGAAGGTGCTCAAGCACGGATACGATTTCCACATTTTTTATTCTCCCATGAGGGATTTGGCAACATAGACTACTCTGCTCAGACCAGCTGAAATGCACAACTAAAGGTTTATGACAAGTAGGGTCTGTCCTACACACTTCTTTTTCCCTTATCAACGTTTATGCTTTGCACTGATATCAGATAGCTTCCCTGACAAGGCATCATGAACTGACTGGAAGCAGGAACTGAGGTATCAGTGAATGAAAACAAAGGGATAGGATGTAAGAACTTATTTAAGAATTTAAAAGCCAGCAAATGCAGGAGGAGGTAATGAACAGGCCAGACAGGCCTGCAGCAAAGTGCTAGATGAATGTGTTTGAAAGGGCTTATTGCATTTGACAGTAGTTTGCATTTCATAAGATGGGTCTGGATAGGCCCTTCATCGCTGATTGCTTTAAGATTTTACCACAGCATGGACACAAATTACTACAGAGGTCTCAGTCAAGGACAAAACTCAGGTCATAGCTCTGAATAGTAATTATCAAGATAATAGTATTATTCCTAGAGGAAAATCCAGAAAGAARCCTAAAAAGGCAGGTAAGTCATCAAGACCCATGAGATTGAAATGCCTCTGGCCAGGAGGTGAGAGGTCAGGAGTAGGTGRGTAAAGCTCAGTAGCCTGTGAAGARCATAGGTGAGTTTGCAAGAAAACCCCCCAAAATTGTGAACCCCAGAAATTGTGAAGTGTATGTTGTACAAGCAATTACATCATGTACTTAAAATGTGATGAAAGAGGACTTGCATCTTAAGGATAGATTTTATTCTCAGTATATACATTCAAAAGTAAAAAGCATAAATAACTTTCTTACTAAAAAAACATAGAGCACAAATGCATTCATGGTCACTCCTGCCAGTGAAAACCAAGTTAACATGACTCAGCGTAACCTCTTTTATACATGAATCAGCTGTACCCATTTATTCCAATTAACCTCACAGGGGAACACTCTTCCCAGCCTGAGAGTGCAGTCTATGGTAGGCTCATAGTATATTGTTGGAGTTTCACTCAGTTTGGGATTATTTAGCTCTTCTTCTATAACCGGTTGAGAAAAAAGAGACACTGCTGTTGGCTTTTTCATGTAGAATCGTTTGATGCAACCAAGGGCTTCCAGACCCTGTAGAAAAAAAAAAATCACATGTTGCACAAAAAGACATGTTAAATGTTATTCTAACCATAGTGTTTTCAGAAACTTTACAGAAAGTTTATATTGAGTGGCTCCTCCCTCTTATCCCTGGAGAGTACTGGGTATGGCAAAGATKACAGCAGAACATATCTGAGCGTGTGCTCATTTATCACTTTGTTGTCAGCTATAGTACCCAGGATCAAACCTTCCAGCACAGTGCTTGCCAGCTGGATACAGAGCGCATTCAGCAACGGATCTGCAAGGCTAAGCACCAGTAATAGATTGTTTCAGTGTTGCTGTATCTGGAAATTACAGGGTTGGGGGTTGCTTCTCGCTGAAGGGCTGGCATTTGTTCTCACAACCACACTCAGCCCGACAGTGTATGGGCTGTAAATATCTAGTGTGTATTTGGTGATCTTACCTAGATAGGCACCTAGATTGATTAATACTTGGTAGTACACATAACTTGCATTAAGGTACCAAAATATACATGCTTTCTGCATCAACAGTATAGTAATTCAGTGAAGAGTGGTACCACAGGCCTCCGTCCTCACTGGTAGTGCCCTACTCTGGTTTTGATTAATCTGCACTGAAGGGAAAGGGCCATTTTTCATGGGCCGTTGTCAACTGCCACCCGTTTTCCTGGGGCTCCCAGCAATGGACTTGCTGAACAAGGACCAACATGGAAGCTCCAGCAGCTGCAGATTGACCTACCTGCAGGATCTCCAGGACGGCGACAGGCTGCAGCACTCCCGTGTAATGCTGCAGCAGCAGGCTTTCCGTTACGCCTGGCTTTGTCATGATGTGGTAGAGCACAGCTTCCATCATTCCCTTGCACACAGGTTTATTCAGAGTCCCATCCACAATCCTCCACGGTCTCCCAAGGAAGCAGATGTTCTCGCAGGCCCTGCAGAAGATGGGATTCACCTCTGTCAGTTGCTGCTTTGATGGTGAGAAATATAAGCTGCTGGCTGCCGCGAGACTGCTCTTCCCACTCCCCATCCTAGCAGGCAGCACAGAAACACTTGCAAGCAGGTCCTTGTCTTTTGTGCTTACCCTGACCTTGGTGCCTATTGGGCTTTCCTCACAGGAATGATTCTCCTAGCTAGATTTCCCGTCAGTTACTGTTTATTAGAGAGTTGTACTGCAAAGCCAAGTGGCAGTAAAATCATTTGTGGAGTAAGGTTATTTTTGCTGCTTTGATACTTGGAATTCATTGCTTTTCGAAAACAAGCATGTACCAAAGAGATCTCCTCAGAATGTGCACAAAGACATAGCAGYATTACCAGAGACAATTGAAAAAAGATATATATGGGTTTTCCATCTTCAAAACTRTGTGACCATCAGAAGATAAAACTAAAATCACCACAGCATTTGCTTAGAGAAGTCATTTTGCTAATGCTAATTGTTAGTTATTCTGCAGACATCTCTCCTACTCACCTGTCCCGGGCTGCCTGAGATAGGTCTGTCACCGAACTTCCTGGAAAGAAAAGGACAGGTACAGTTTATATAAAGTAGCCCAGTCTCTGTAACTACAGTGCAAGGAAGATAAAAGGTGGCTAAGCTGTAAAAGGCAATGATTTATGCTAGAAAATAACACCAGCAAACTGAGCTGAGTGTTACTGGCAGYTGCATGGTGAGTTCTAAGCTTCTACTCTGCCTTTATCTGTCTGCAGGATCTTCTCTCYTCCTGCTGCTGTTTGCTTAGCCACATCTGTCTACTCCAGCTACAGCCTCTGTGGCCCTGTCCCAAGACACAGCAGAAAGTTTTATTCCTGTAATCYTGCTGTGTGTCTGAATGATGGATATTACATGGACTGAAAAAGAACCAGGTTCTGCACAGGGGTCTCYACAGGGTCTCTGCTCGCAAGCACTCACATAGAAGACTGAGCAGCTCTAGCCCTGCGAGTTCAGGATGCAAACTCAAGAGTTGAGCAGGGTTCAGGCTTCACAAGAAGGCAGTCTGTGACTTCCACAGTGCATTATGACATGGGCTTTAATTACACAATTACTTAACTTTGGATAATTGCACTGCACCCAGAGGCTAGCAGCTTTGGCATAAGCATGTCTTGCCCTCCTATGTAAACCCTTCTAACAGAGCAGTTAAGCAAAGGGTGTAGACTAAAGCTCTGTTGGCAAGACCAAGTCCAACTCAGGACATGGATGTGTGAGGACAACAGAATTCTGCACCGGGGATCTGGAAGTCAAAAAAAAAAAACAAACCAGGAGCTTTCCAAAAGGTTTTCTTTACCCCACTTGACAGCATGAGCACTTGCGCTCCATTTTAAGGGAAATAGAAAAGAGTAACTACAAATGCTGGTCAGATGCACCTGAAACACTTAAAAAAGCAAGAACTTGGGAACTAAGATTAAACATGGATGCACATTTTGTCTCTTGGCAGACACATTGTGACTGAGCTAAAAACTTGGAGCTTCAATTGTGCAACTTTTTTTTTTTTTTTTTGCTTTGCTTTAGTTCAGTGGTAGACAGGATATGCAACTTGACAGTTGCTTATTTAGAACATGTGATAATGTTTTAAGACCACAGATGCGTAGTACAAGCACATATGTCTTGGTAAGTGCCAGATGGGCTTCATAAACATGACTGGTGAAATCTGTAAGCCTCGTATCACAACTAATTAGGACTTTTTCCCCTCCTCAAAACAGAGTTAATTAAATCAAGAATACATTAGCAGTTTCACATTAAGCTGCTTAAGTTATGTTGTTTAGACAGCCCTGAGTCAATAGCCTGTAGGAAGGCTCCATTAAACAACACTAAACTCTGGATTGCTTTGCACTCAATTCACGTGACATGGTGCAAGTGTCAATGCAGAGTAGTGGCAGATATTGGCAAAAGGCTACACAAGCAAMCTGAAATCCAAGCCAATAGGAACAAAAACAATAAAAGCCTCCAACAAAAAATGTGAGGTAGTTCTTGGCATGGACTACTAGGCTATTAAAAAGAGAACACTAGCAATAAAAATGTAATAAAAATGAAGCCAAACTTGGTCATAAAAGAGGCTGTTAATCTCACTGGCACATGCCATTTGCTGGTGAATGGTTTAAGGATTTCACAGCTTTCAGTCATGGATATTCTAGTCAAATGTAAACTAGTAGCACTGGGTTTGCTGGTTTTAAAGATGTCTGCTCTTTGTGCTGAAAGAAAAACCTCAAAATCCAAAGATGTCTTCAGAGATTAAGACATGAAAAAATTTCCAAGGAAAGCCTATTTCTGAATTAGCCATGAATATTCCAGCAATAAGTCTGGGAAGGAATCTTTCAYGTTTCTGAAGCTTCTGTAGCCTTCCAGATGAACTAGTGCAGTGCCATTTTTTTCTGTGAGAAATTAAAACCACCCCTCTCAGTGGTATTTGTCTTCACAAAAGACCTTGTATTTACCTATAAAATGTAGTACCTGTTTGGGATCAGCTGGTGGTGAGCTAGTTTCTATTCCTTACAGGATAGAACTCCTACATACCTGAAGAGACTTCAGAGTTCTCCTGTAAATGGGAAACCTCATCATGCTGCTCCTTGGAAGGATTTTCAAGGCCAGGGAGCTGCTTGGCCTGCTCAGTGGTGAGCTCATCATTCTCTGCTTGAAGCTCTTTGTCCTCAGAACAAGGTCTGTCTTGTTCCTCCTGAGTGTCCACATTGGCAGCATSTGAGGCACATGCTGAGTCTTGAGCTAGGGGTTCTGTCTGCCTTCCCAAGGGGTCTCTTTCTTCATCAGCAACTGAAGTGTCCCTTGTTTTAACACCTGCGTCAGAGGTATTTTCACTTTTCAGACTGCTCTGTGGCCTCTGGCAGAGTTGGCTGCTATCTTGAAGCTCATCGTTTTGAATCTTAAGTCTCTTCCTTGGAGGCTCTTCATCACTGACAGAGCTTAAGTCTTTTACTGGCTGTTCCTCCTCTGTTGAGCACTCCTCCCCATTCTTTGGTCCTGACTGCAGATAGTCCTGCTGCGTATCTGAGAGAGGGGTGTCTGTGCCTTGCTCACCAGCATCATCTGGTTTATTCTTCAGACATACTGAATGTAACAGCCATGGCTTGGCAAATATTATTGCCACCAGTCTTACAGTATGGGCTCCTACTTCTAAAACCTGTTGCATTTCAATAAGGTCCTATAGAGAGAGAGAAAAAAATGTTTCATTAGCTTGCACTGGAAAATACCACTATATCCCAATATCATGGAATTCCTATTTTTAACTGGTAGCAAGAAAAGAGGAAGAGCTTAGTGGGACATTCAGCTTAAATTAAATGGAAAGGTAACTGGGAATGTTTTTTGCTTCTGAATRTGAGCTCTAGCTTTCTATTCCTTCTTAGTGTTGACAAAGGAATGCCCCTATTTGTGTTATGCTGTTTGGGAGATTGTCCCGTTCCAGAGGAATACTAAACAGGAACACATGTATGTATAGCCAAGGAGCTGGCTGTGAAACGACCTGTAGGTACTGCTGCAAATTCCTGGTGCGTTCAGGCCCCACTTCTTCATAGCTGCAGAAATGCCTGCCCAGCTCAGCTTTCCCAATCCCAAAGTGGGAAGTCGCCTCTATGGCATTACGGATCTCCAAAACAGCAGCCACATCTCCGGGACTGTAGCTGTAACATTCTGTACACTCACGAACAAACCCGTCAACTTCATAATCTTCTTCTTGCACTTTTATCAGTCTGGTGAAAGCTTTTGGGAGGCAAGAGACTCCCACAGCCATCTTATCAAGCACAGAAGAATCTGCAAAGAAAAAGCAAATGTGTTTGCTGTGAGGCAGCTGTTACTGTGTTGTCTTCTACGGAAAGATAAACTGAAATAGACAAGAGGTTTCCTAGATGATATCAATTAAMAATACAGCTCAGCTTTTCATGTTCATTACTTAAACTCCTTGTTCTGCTTTACCTGTCAGCAACGGGAATGGGCAGGGGCAGCACCAGCCATTCCAGCACACCTAAAGGCTTTCCTTACTACACTTGCATTACACCAGAAAGGAAGGCACTCTTCAAGACAGGAGAGTTGAGAAAAAAAAATGCAAATTATCAAAATGTTGAAATTATTAAGAAAAAGCATTACAAAGCAAACCACGTGTTGTAATGAGTATGAAGAAGAATGTTCCTGCTATAAGGCTTTGCCCAAATCAGTTCCTCAGCTCACAAGTTTGCTCTCCTGCCTGTTCCAACCTACTTCTGTGCAAGTTATGCTGAACAGAAACCAACCTGGAYAGCTGAGTCTTCCTGGCACTGGAGTACATCGCAGCCGAACCTTCACTTGGCAGGAATTAACCACAATATTGTCACTGGGGCTCAGATTGCGGGTGCTGACAATTCCAGGCGCATAATAGCCTCTCATCAGTAAGTAATTGGTATGAGATGCTTGACGAGCTTTTACTTCTATTCTCCGTTTGCCTCCAGAATTGTCATCTAAGTCGTCATCCTCCTCCTCCTCCTCCTCCAGTCCTTCTTTTCCCAAACTACAGCAAACAGAAACATTTTGTTTGTTTGTTTGCTTTTAGTTTTCCAAAATAGTATCTTAAGTGACATATTCCAAAGAGCAGAGCAAGAGCACATGCTTTTCTGCATCCTGCAGTTTAGTCATAAGCAGATGTGGATATGTTAATAACAGGCTGATTTACACTGCTGAGAACAAGCAGCTACAGAAAGGATAATGCAGTGAGGTCCTTGGAAAAGAAAGCACTCATTTGGACAGCATTTTGAAAGGAACCCAAAATGCTTCAGCTCATACTGCTAAGACTGTGGTTCAGGATGCCCTTCCTCATGAGAACACACCTGTCAGAGCACAGAGATACCATCAAGTATGGATAAATGCACACTGTGTATATCATATGCTATGCATCTGCCCCCATACTGGAGGGGAAACAAAAGACTAGGTAAAAGGGGAGAATCTTGTTATAGTGAATCACAAGCTGCACATCAGTCACTGCACCTTTCTTTTTTAATCCCTATTGGAATGGTCATTCATCATGGGCACTATAAGCAGACCTATGTATTTAATATGTGTATTTGGCTTTTGACATCACAGTTCAGAGGACAGTAATGAGATAGGGATCTAGATAACAAAAATAAAAATCTAAAGCAATGGAGATGGGCTCTTTTAAAGAATGGCAGATGAAGGAAGAAAGACTATGTTAATATATGTAATGAGCTACTCTAAAGAGAAGGGCTGATACTGTGTTTTCATGTATACTGTCAGGAAGCAACAGGTTAAAGTGCAGCAAGAGATTTTATCTGCACACTAAGAGAACGTAATGATAACAGCAACAGAATTCATAAGATTAGACAGCCAAGGGTGAGAATGGAATTTAAATTACTGAGTGTTTAAAAATAAAAAACAAAGAGAATAGGCAATGCACAGAACAAATACTATGGGGAGTTTTCTCTGAAAGTGGAAACCTTGTTAGTAATCCTTGTTAGYCCTTGAAAAGGGATGGTGATGAAAAGGACTATGCAGCACATACTGCCCTCCTTATCACTTCAGCTCTGGTGGCAGTGAAGTGCCCGGCAATTTAAATGTCACGTATTGAAGACAAATGCAGTCCAAGGCTGTAAGGACAAGCACTAAAGTGCCATTAAATCCTCAAAATGCTCCCTGAAAAATAATAACCTAAACAGTGCCACAGCAAAACATGAAAACATGCGAAAACTAGGGCATAAAGCACTGATGCACGTTGGATTTCCTTCAACCTTCCACTCTTATTCACAATGGAAATAGTGGTGCTTACCTTTTGATCACTTCATTCTCAACCATAGTGCTGTCCACCACCACTATCTGCTCTGGGATTCTCACATTCACAGATACAAGTCCCAAGGCAAACAGGGAAAGCATTGCCACACAGTGGCCTCCAGGCCCATCCATAGGAAACGCAGTCAGGCTTTCTGAGGATTTACAGTCTTGATCTTTAAATGAGAAGTTGTCTGGCTCATCTGATTTTTCATTATCCTTCAGCTTCTCAAGGAATTGAAAGGATTCTGTACAAATTGTACTGGGAAATCGCCATGTAAAAACTCTGCACAAGAGAACAAGTTCAAAGCACACAACATCATTGATACTGTGTTCTTACTATTCATGAATTTCATGTACTCTGGTAGCACAAAAGGAATTCAATAGTTTAAGTTTCATGCTAGTGATGGTAATTATGAACCTTTTACACCTGCTTGTACAGCTATGTGGTACCCAAATAGATATATGGCAAATGTAAAGCACAGATCTCATCTGTTGCTTCARCATCAATATGTTTACACCTAATGCTGTTCCCTCCACACCAAATATCTATGTATAGGGCAGCACAAAATAACTGGAGAGAAAAAGAAAGCAACCATCAGAGTGAAGGGAGGACTAAGGAAATCGTTCCACCGTATGAAGAACTTCAGTGCTCCTTCCCTTCTCCGAGAGCCTTTGTAAAGGTTTGCTCAGTGAACTTGGCTCTGTGTCTTGTACAGTAATTGCTACCTGAAAACAGGGCTACCAAACCTTGACGTCACCTTCACCTACTCCAGTGTGATGGTCAGGTTCTTCGCTCTAGATTCTCCATGCACATTATCTCCTCCATGGCAAGCATACCTGGGTGCATTCTTTTGCTGGATCACACAGAAACAGTGACCTTTCTGACACCCACCTGTAGTAACTCTGAGACAGCTGATAGGACATGGGCACGAAGGGCAAAGCTCGGCTTTTCTTTGGCCCCAGCGTGTGGTTTACTCGGCGCCGATTGACCAGACTTCTCTTCTGACACTCTACGAAAGCCTTCACCAGGATGTCGTCCTGGTACTCACGGTACAAACGGAAGGTCTGCAAAACAGAACCCACTCAGTGTAAACAACTTAACTGGTAGTTGATACTATACTGTCCACCTGGACACTGAATGCCACAAAAAATACTTTAAATCCAAATCCACTGTTAGACCCACCCACCTGAAGTTTCCTTTAACTAAATGATAATAGAAATATATGCCAGACATAAATGATAGATATAAATTTTTATATTATTCCATTGCTTTTGTAGGGTTCCTGGCTTCCCATAGCAAATACTAAGTAAACTAAATAATACAGAGAGCACTTAATATTCAAAATGGGATCAGGCTCCTGCTAGAATTAACTGTGTAAAAACCCACTCCTATGGGAGGGGCATCATTTATCTCCTATGAGGTCAAAGTATGAAGAAGAAGCTCTTCAGAGCTGTCTATCCGATAAAGTTTGGTCTGGATACTGTACCTGAAATGACTGACAAGATTTCATCTGGTTATCAGAGAGTGCCAAAGTGCTCTGAATCAGATTCTGTAGCACCAGAAAATGAATATCATAGATGCTGAAAAAAAAAATGGGGGGAGGAGGAAGGGTTTATTCTTAATTTTTGCGCAGGAGGTGCCTAACTATTAATCTAGCACAAAAATTCTCTGACTTAATCAACTACTTTAAAACAGATGTATAAAGATCAGTACATCAGAGAACTACTGATATCAAGGAGTTTGTTCCAGAACTGTTGATATCAAGGAGTTTGTTCCTTTTTCTTGACTCTCCAACCTAAACTTTTGCATCCGTACAGATAATTTGTCATAAAATTACATTCTCTTTGATAACATTTCCCTTTAAGTTATAGCACCCATCTAGGAAACCTCTATCACTGTCATAATGCTAACAGAYCACCAGAATGAGGAAATAGTGAGAAAGTCATCCCTGTTTTCAATTTATTCATTGAATCTATAATTGATATCACAGGTCCCTACAACCTTGAGACAGTATTTTTCTACTAATAACTTTATGCATTCAGGAAACAGATGGAAAATGTACTAATTAGAAGACTGCACATACGACCTTCACTGATGCAAGGGTTGACAAGATCTTGGGGAGTCCTGGTGGGAGAAGAAAAACAAAAAAAGAATACTGCTTCTCACCTGGTGAGACTGTCCTCTTTCGTGTTTTGATTTGTGTCATCTCCAATTGCCAAAACTCGAAATCTAGTTAGGGCAAAGAGATAAGAAAACACTGAAACAAAAGTAACATGCCTTCTACTGCATCTGTGCCATGCAGAGACCTTGGTTTTATATAAACCGTGAAACTCAGAGGCTGACAAGTGCCACTGCTAATAAGGTATCTGTTGAAAATAGTGCCAGCAGCCCTCAGCACAAGTGTCAAAAATTAAATAAACTGTCCACATCAATCTCCCTCGCTCTACTGAGATATTTGTCCACAAGGGAAGACATACATGGAAAAAAAGACAGCAGAGCATCAGCAAGAACTTAGGTAAGATGATCCTTGACAGCAAGATTYATACAAGAAAACTCCTATTTTTTTCCTGCACGGTTCCATGACAAAAAGGATTTGCTGTCTTGAGGTTCTGGACTTCCAGGTACCAGGTCCAGTAATTCTGCTGTAATGTACAGCYCTTTCCAAAGTTAGAAAATGTATAAAGGTGCTAAATTTGTTATTTGTGAATGACTGAGGCCCAGGTTCCCACACATATCTCCAAGAGATATTCAGCACTGAAGAATCTGACAACCTGTGGCTGGAGACTGCCATACAAGGCTAAGAGCTTTTCTAGATCAGCAGCTTTAGACACAATACTGAGCTAATTTATCTGTGTACCAGTTACAAATTATGATACAAAATGAAGCCATATAATCTGGAAAACAGTAAAGGCAAGCCTTCTGATATTAAAATGTTGCATCTAAGTATTCACATCTCTAATAGCAAAACTGAGGAAGTGACCATGTATGAATAGTTGATAATACGAATTTGGGGTTTTAAAAAATATTATTTAGTAAAATGAAAAAGGTTCAGAATAGGCAAGCCTATAAAAAAAAAAAAAAATTGCTCCATGCTCCATTAATCGAATCTTCTTTTGATACCATGGGAACAGGTAACAAAAGGTATAAACTACACAAAGCACAGAACAGGTCAAATRTGAAACACAATCCTCCCACCCTGTCCTAGCCCCCACAGAAACTCAAACTCGTAACCAAAATACCTGGAATATAGTTCCTGCAAAGTATCAGGAATCTCAAGTTTGGGATTGCCCAGGGTTGAACTGAATTTCTCTTTCAGTCTTTCCACAAACTCTTTAAACTCTTTTGAACAAACCTTTGAAAACAAGAGAGAGAAAAGTTATCAAGCTCAATTTTTTAGAGCAGTAAAAAAATGCTGTAATTTCAAAGTCTTCACAAAATAATTCCCCTAGAAGTGGCTCGGTTGTGAATCAAGTTGGACAAAGAGTCCGACAGAGAAACCAGGAGAATAAATTAAAAAGCTCTCTAAATGTTATATTTGCTGACTTGCTTAACAGATGCTATTTGCTATTAGGTTGTCTCATAGTTCCCAGAAACATGTCACAGAATAGATGAACAAGAAYAAAAGATGCATTTGGTATTATTTTCAAATTCTGTATAAAGAAAGAAACTGTGGCAGAAGACACAATCAGACAACATCCTATCTTTGGTTAATTTAAGGAATAAAAAGCTCAAAACTTAAATGAAATCTTTTGACTAACCAAAGGAAGGTATTCTCTCAGGTAATTTGCTTGAATTCCCTCACTCACCCTCAAAATTTGAGGCACTATTTCAATGCAAAATCAGAATTAAAAAAAAAAAAAAAGAAATTACAGTGCAAAATTGTTTTCTTGCTCAGATAAGGAGGAATGTGACAGGCTTGGAATAAAAATGAAAGAGTGCATATGCAGGCTCAGTCATGGATGTTTACAAACAAGCACAATGGAAAGCAAAACTGGGCTGCACAGCAGAGCTATTCATATGTGTCTGGAAGGCTGCCTATTCTTATCTTGCTCCCAAAATAGCAATGATGTAGCATTTTTACAATGATGTTGTTTTTAACATAGTTAAAAGTRCAAGGGGGAGATGAGAAATGAAATCAGAGTAACCCAAACAGAGCAAGTATTCACTAATCCAAACAGCGTTTGTACTCCGTGACCTTTTAGAATGTTTCTCCTCTTACCTGCGGATCTTCGTAGTTATTCTCTCTATTCATGAACTCTTCAATGAGGGCTTTATCCTGGTAAACCTCAGCAAGGCAAACTCTGCAACAGATACAATCGAGAGTGGTGGAACTGCTTGTAATTTTCTCAATTCAATGCTGCTCATAGAAATTAAGGCACCTACTTCAACTGAAGGGTCATCTCTATACACTCCAAACAACAGCATTAATCAAACAAGATTTAAGGAAAAATTCTTCCTAACTTATCATGCACGTATCAACATTTTCAATGCAACTAAGCCAACTCATCACCATCTCATTACTTTGTATGAGCTGTGACAGAACTGAAAACCAAATGTAAATCCTCCTGCTGTTTTATTTGTTCTTGAGAAAATGCAAACTAATAAATGAAAAAGCCTCCTCGTCTCAGAAAAACTGCTGTTCCACAGCACAAACACCTTGCCRGAGGAGTCACCATGTAAGCCAGCCAGCATAGCACCATTGCAAGATTTCATAAGGAAAGGAGAAAGTGGATGGGAATGGGAAGCAGATTTGTTCTGAAAGGGAGGGAAGAGGATTTGAAAAACCTCAGAGAGAGGCATTTTGGTTCTCTGAAACATGAGATGCTGAGAAACAGCTTGTTAGTTACCACTCACTAACTGATATTTCCCTGTTGATGTGTCCTTGTTTTAGTCAGAACATCAGGACAGAATGGATCAAGTTCTCATCTCTGTCCTTTTTGCATATCCCTGTATCTCTAGGCTATTTAAAAAACCACTGCTGTTCATTTTGAAATGGCCACTTTTGCCTTCATGTGTTATCCCTGCTTCTTATGTTGGCAGAGGAAACGACAACTTGTTCCTCTCATGTACGTGTACTATGAATTTATATTCATGCATATTTTGTGTTGCTCTTTCATAGCACTATGGAGCAGAGAAATAGAAATTTATATTTGACAAAAACCCGGGAAGCTCAAATCCCTTAATTTCATTTCAGAAGACTTTAACTTACACCTAGAACATAGAAAAAAACCTTCTTACTTATAATTAAGATAGGTCTGGGGATTTCTGACAATGTAACGAGCTCTTCGTCCAACAGAATGAGAAGTTTTATCTAGGGACTCTTCAAAGCTGGCATGCATGATATCACGCACTACTTGCCATGGAACAAAGGGCCCTTTTACCTGTGTGAAGAACAAAAATATTCTAAGTTAAACTTCAGCTTCCCTGCACACAAATGATGGTCAGAACCAGGATGAATTCCTAGGAGCAGTGTTAAGTGTGTTGAATACCCAAACCCATCAAAGGGAGGTCTTTTCAGATACCTTTGCATTTAGCACATGACTAGCAATTCGGCAGAGCATGAGCAGGCTGTCCTCTTGCACCGTCCAAGTGACACGCAGACGTGTCATTCTCTGCAGGGCACTTTGGTCAGCTTCATCATGGTAGCGCAGCCTTTTGCTCTTTTCTACGGAGTTGTCTTCTAACAAATCCAGAAGAAGACAGTTAGTTAACATATTGTGATCCACATCAGCTCCTATCACAGGTATTACCAGAGCCTATTGTGCTAAGGGAATTTCAAGGAGCAAAAACTAGGACTGGAGACTTAGTGGGCTAAAAACACAGGAAAACATGGCCTTAGTAGAGAAGTGGCTTAAAGGAAGCCAGAAGCAGAGGGTGGCAGGACAAAAGCCAAGCTTTTTCTCTYGTTATGTTTCTGTAATTCAGCTCAATGGTTCACTATGACACACAGCAAGGGAGGGTCAATGAAAAATATCTCTGAAATACCAGATAGGTCAAATGTATTTTAATGAGGTTATACCTTATCTGTAGGAAAAACTGCAAACCTGCTAGAGACTATGCATTCAGCAAGGTGTAAGCATTATGAAAGCTTATGATTTATGATTCGGAGAATACTGCAATACATTAGCAAGTGCTTTCAAATTAYTATCCTTTTATGTTTTAATTTACTCTGAATTGTCCTTAGGGCTAGGTGCTTCAAAACTGGAAAGGGAATAGCTTGCCTTCAAAAGATAGCTGAAGGGCAAGCTCGAATCATTGCAACTGCATTTTACACACAATTAAGTCAAAGTGATGTTTCTTGTAAATAAWAGCACAAAGCAGCAAGACATTTCAAATCATAACAGAGAAAAATGTGTACCTTGACTGGTGAAAAGCAGGGAACAAGCAGCTGGGGAGATAAAGGACTACGGCTTTAGTTCCCACCACTAACTTTCCAACTAATTCAGAATATAACCCTTTTTTTACTGTTGCTATATGATTTATCATCTGAAAATCATAAAGATAAAAGAAAAGATAAAAAGCTTTCTTCCTGGCAGACTTCAACTGCAATCTTCGGTTTTTGAATCTTTCCTTTTGTGCTGCTTTTCTGCCCTCGGTTCTGTCACTCAAATGTGAGTAGCTAACTGTGCAAGAGAGGTCTGTTGCACAGCACCTTGGACACATAAGAGGAGCCCTCCAGATATGCCACAGACATGCAGTSTGTCAAAGAAAGTTTCTCTCTCTGGATGTGGATCCCTAAAAGGAGGAGGAGGAGGAAGAGTACAAGGCTGAGAGCAGTGCTCACAGTGGAGTTTGTAAGAATGAAAGAACCAAGGCAGAGAAGGAAGTATGCAACAGCAGCTGAGAAAGTAAAAGGCATTAATGCCCTGCTCAGCAATGAGGAAACCACYATGTTAGCAAGAAAACTGACTAGAAAATATCCCCATGGGAGGATGTTCTGAGACAGCAAATGGAAAAGGACTGTGACATTGTAATGAGCTGATCTGGCCCAAACACGTCTGGAATTTCTTTGGTTTACACAGTACAGTAGTACAGCAATGACTCAAACTTAGGTAATAATTACAGCATCCTCCTGTTTCTCCACTGAGCTACTATAGAGCCTTRTGACAGTAGAGTCTGTTTGCTAAAGGGCAACCTAAAGAGAATGTTAGTCCCAATTCCCATGTGTCAGTCACCACAGCTTTTCTGAAGCAACTTAGAGCAGGCAGATGCCTTGAAAATAAGGCTTCTTTTCATGACTTGCATGCTGGTTTCTTACCTTTCTTTTTCTTCTTCATCTTCTTCCCAGTGTCTTTCTTAAGCCTCTTCCTCTTTTGGCTTTTTCCACCTCTCACTCGTTTGTTTCTATCCTGAGTTGCTTCTTTACTTAATTCACATTCTTCTTTCTGCAGAAGCGACTCAGATTCTACTTCTGTTTCTCCCAGAATGCTGATTTTGTTACCTAAGATGACATGTGTTTACATTAGTGGAATTTTGTAGCAATTACATTTGACAATATTTAGAGCAAATGCCAAAGTTTCACTATATAAAAAGATGCCCTTTCAAACTTGCTCTTTTTTAATCATGTAATTTCATGTCATTTCTCAACAGCTTATACAGAATAACACCTCTCAAAATGAATAATGGTCAGGTAATTACTAAGCCTAGAGTAAGGTGCACTACCCCGAGGGAGCTGAGCTGAGGTTTTATTATTCAGCCTGAAGCTTTTCCACCTTCTTAGTTTAGATGTTTAGATTGAAATGCATTTTTTGCAGTGCCTTAATAAAGATTCATTACAGTGAACTTTTAGAAACTTACTGGAAATTTAAATCAAGACAGGCTAGACAAAAATGGCTTAGACGTTACAATGTGTTTAATGTTACACATTCTTCTCAATATTAAAGTAAAAGGTTTTTAATCCTTTAATCCTTTTAATTTGACAAATGGAGTTTATAAAAATGTGACAAGAATCCTTTGCAACAAGGCCTTTGATTGTAACTTCAACTAGGCACTACAAAACAAGCTAGGGATGATGGAAATTAGAGGTTTTAAAATGCAATAAGCCCGTTTCAAACCAGATGTGTAGCCACACCTACATATAACATACACCCAGCAACTTGTCTAGAGCAACCAGAGCCTAACGTGCAATTAGTACAAGAGCAGGAACATTCTTAACTTCACATAAAAGATGCTATAGCTGTCTTCAAAGCAGTCATTTCAATAAAGAAGGATGCACAGGTCAAATCTCAGTTAATTTAAATGGAGAATTGTCTGAACTGTTAGAACTCTTTGACATGAAAGATATTTTTCTTTTCTTATCTTCAAGTTACTGAGGAAAGCCCCAGACCAAAGAAGCATGAAGCTTTTCACTTTTGGGAAAGAGCAAACTGAAAAATTCTCACCCAATTAAACCAATGACAAACCACTCAAAAGATGGGGGGGGGGGGGGGGGGGGAAGAAAAAGAAATTGCTCTAGAAAAATAACATTCGTGTTTTACACTGCATGGGTACAAAGCAGATCTCTGATGTGACTGAGGCCTTATCAGAAAGCTATGTCACCTAGCAGGCTGCTCTTATCGATGCCTCTGGACTTTCTGCAAACTACCCATGAGAAGTAACCAAGGATAAAAAATTACTCTTTGCTATATCTAGAAGCAGGAAAAGAAATTAGTTTTTATTTCTCGCCCAAGAAACATCCTAGATTATCATAAGGCAACAGGAATAAACACATTGTCAGTGCTGGGTTCGACAGGGACAGCAACAGCTGATGCAGTTACAGGCCACAGGCAGCGTCACTTACCTCCGGTACTGGGGGGAAGGGGGTGCTTTGTTAAGAACGTCTGGAGTCTCATTGTCAGCCCGTTTTCAGAAGCTGTACTTTCCTAAAACATCACCAAGGTGAAATGCAAAAAGCCAGAGAGTACACAGGTTTTAATGTTACTATAAATCAGTATCTTCAATGTTAGGATTAGTTTAGAAAGATGATTTTAGCATAAATGTTAAAAAGATTCCCAGTTATGATGAAGGTTTGATTTATCTTTCTTCTTGACTTGCTTTCTTGTTAAGGAGGCTGAATAGAAGTATTTTTTTTAAAACGTGCTTTTTTTTTTCAAAACAGTCTACACCTCACATGACGTTCAAAAAGCGCACCGCCAAAATGAGAACACAGACATAACTAACTGCCCCCTCTATCATATTCTGTCCAGTATAACTCTGAGTCCAAACTTATTGCAAGATATTAGAACTTCTGGCGTTCCCAGCAAAAGCCATTTCCCTCGTGTTGAGTTCACTGGCGACAGGGTTTGATCCAAGGAGTAAACATGACTGAAAGGGCAAAGCTGAAGAACTGGTGACACAACAGAACTTCAAAGTGAAATGATACTGCCCGGACGGAAAACAGGCAATTCTGATTTTATATATAAACTCATGGGCTCTAATTTGACCATTACTGTCCAGAATGGGATCTTAGGGTTACTGTAATCAGTTCTCAGAAAGTACCTTTTTAATGCACAGTAATGGTCAATAAGCAAAGCAAATGCTAAGAATTCTTAGCAGAGGAAGACATCATTATGCAGCTATAAAAATCCATGGCTGACTGTCACAGAAGGAGCATATCCTTCACACTGACCACAGCCGGAATATGGTATGTGATTCTGTTTCCATCTTCAAAAGGACATAGAAAAACTAGCAGAGGTTAAAAGAAAGAGAAGAACACTCAAAGGCAGAAAATTCCATGCTGAAAATAGGTAAGTAATCCAGTACTTTACAGGCTGGAGAAAAAAAAATAAAAAGAGGATGGTAATGGCAAACAGGAGAGCTTTGCAAACTCACAAGTGACAGAGGAAGAGTACTGAAAAATGGTATTTGCTCAGTTTCGCTTGGTAAAACTTTGATAGCTATGAAACAAGCTAGCATTCAGGTTTAGAAAGAACTTGAACAGAACCTGCTGATATCGGGAAGAATATTTTGAAGAAAACATCACTGTGCATCTCCCTAAAGATGAAGTGAACGTTTCGTGATAAACCTCCTATGCCCTTACAACCTTCCCTACAAATCTTTGATTGGCCACCACCAGACATTGATCTGACCAGAGACTGTCATTCCTGTTTRTTTATGTTGGACTTCCTCCACAGCATTTTGGGCTGTGTGCCTTGTTCTGAGTATTTCAGTTTTCATCTGACAACTCTAACATTCTTGGAAGGTAAGAGACACCAATAAGTGATCTTAATTTCTTATTAAAGAAGTTTTCTTTTTTTTTTTTGGTTAGGTCCGTTTTTTTTCCACCACCAAGATTTGCCACACTTGCCTTCCATTTCTTTCCAATGATACAAAATCATAGAGGGGCATGTTGCTGAGAAAGCAAGACAAGTTTTTGCTCTACCAGTTCTTAAGAATATTAAAATAAAGCATTACACAACTAATTCATTGGAAAATACTCACCTTCCTAGTCTTATTGATGATGTAGCTTGTCCAAATCCAATTGCGTTTTAAATGTCCATAAAAGCTGGAATCCAGACCTGCAGCTCCTAGTCCATCCCCAGGGATAGTCCCATCATCAACCACCTCTCGACTGCCTCTAACAAGAAGAAAGCAAAAATATACAAAAAAAAAAAAATTACTTTGCAAGAGCAGCAGAGTACCATTTCCTACAAGATGTGCACATTGTGCAAAACTCTCCCTCTGCCCTCACAATTTAGATAGGGCTGGAAAATAACAGCAGAAAAAAAGAGATCCTCGCTCTCTTAACTGCTCCAGAAGTAGAATAGCAGCCAGGTTTTTCCAATAAGTTTTTATAGCCAATATGTAATCCTTGAGCTTTAAATTTTGAAATTACAACAAAAGCAACCTCATTATTGTTAACTAAATTCCAGCTGACATGTTAAGACATTGCTGTCAGCAYGTTTCCTGCCACAAACCCAAAGAAAATACCAGATGAAAAACTTTCTCAAGGCAACTGCAAAGAAAAATTTCACAAGAAACCTGTAAGCTATCACAGGCTGTGGATCATTAAAACATACTGCTAAACACAGTTCTTGCCATTTTTCTAGGAAATGTTTTGTTGGAATTTGCCTGAATGCACCTACAAGCCAAAAATCACAATGTAGTTCAAATTCCCTGGAAAGATAAAGGGAGAATGAATGGAATGGAATAGATGAATCAAAGCCCTTCCCTGCATGACTACAAGCAGTTCAACTACCAAGGTGGTGATACAGTACAGGACAAAAAACGTATCCTATTTGTAAAGAAAAAAATCATGGAGACAACACCTGCTTCTTCAAATAAATGGAAAAATGAATTAACTTTACATGCCTGCTTGGTTTAAGTTGTACAAGACTGTCAACCAGTCTTGTACAAACATAGAAAGTACTTTGGAAATCCTATTTCACCTTATGAAAGATTTACTGGGAGCTACCATGAAAAAAGGATTTCAGTCAAGCTTTCAGCTAACAGCYCTTTGATAAGAAGTCTTACATCACCAATTCAATTGAAAAACTGCTTCTTCATCTTGGAGATGTTGCTGTCATCTGCAGTCTAACTACAAGCCATAACCATTGAAAAAGATATTGTAGCATATAATGGAGACCATATGAAAAAGGTGACAAGTGGATTGAAGAGAATTTAATCTACCAGCATGAAGCAGTGGAATTAGGGTCCCTCTTTTTTTTTTTTTAATGGTATTTTCAGTTAGTTCAGTGTTACAGGCAGATATATCAAGTTACCTTAAACAACCTGTTTATAACTTATTAAAACAGAAATCAATATAGACCACAAAACCAAAGCACCACAAAACGCTCAACATGAAAAGTGTAACTGGCGTTCTGCATGGTTATCACAGGTCATAAATCTGCAGTCTTACGTTTCTGGTTGTGATTRGGCAGATGGAGTGTTCCAGAAGATACTTCCAGGTATCACCAGTTTAAATTGATACCATAATAGGAATTAATCTGTAAACAATATGCAGCAGATTGCAAAGCAGAATTTGGAATGTGACTAGAGGGAGCTTCTAGAGCTACATGTTCCTTGGGATATAAACCCTTGGAACGGAGAATTTTTGAGGTCTTCCCTTGCATTAACTGTATTGATCGTTCTTTTTCTCTCCACTTCGCTTTCCCAAAAGATTCTTGCAACCCATGTGCATGCTATTTTAGAAGGAAATCTGAGTCTGGTTTTCCCACTCAGATAGCAGGAACACCTGCTTGGTAGATAATTATCCCTTCCATTAGACAGCTTCTGTATTGCAAAAAAAMCCCAACCAACTGAAAAGCTAGAACCTTAACCACCTTTGCTGCCTAGTACCCTTCTCAGAACTAGAATGGTTATTTTTATCCATTGTATTTAAGCAAGAAAACAAAGAGGAAGACGACGTACGTGGTGTATTCCAACATGGCACACTTCCGTTCCAGATTGTGTTTATCCACTGCTGACTCTTGTTCCATTTCTGCATCCAGCGCGGCGCTCGGCTCCTTCCCTTGCAGGTTACTTCTCTTTGTGCGAGGAAAACGGACAACCCCTAGGCATGCAAACAGTTTTGACCACCAGCATGAGAAACAAGATTCTAATTCATCCACACCTCTATGGAAAACTAGTGCAACCTCTTCCTTAGGGAAAAATGTGGATATTTTTACCATCTTGCTATAAACAATGCTACTAAGTTAGAGAGTCTGATAGCCTTCCAGTTAATTTTCTGTACAAGGTGCTGACTTGCACAAACTGTACACAGAACAGAAGTACAGGGAGGCTCCTGCTGTTTATAAGTAGAAAATTGCAGCAGTTCAGTGACATTCTAGGCATGGCTCCCAGCCCTTAATATGAGATGCAAGCCCTTTATGTTGGAGATATATTTGGGATATAGCACCAGAGTCACATGAAGGTTCACCAAAAATACTGCAACACGAGAAAGCTTTCATAAATATGTGAGCTGGAGAAACAACATCATTCCTGTATTTTGGATGCCAGAGGCACTCAAGGTCTGATCAGCCTTTGAAAGTTGTAATTATAACAAAACATGCTACCATTTTGCAGATAGTTGCTTTGTTGCAAAAGTAAGGTAAAATTATGAATAAATTCTTTCCTTTGAATGACTACATTACAGAAAAACAGAAAAGTGTTGTCAGATATTTCAGGTGCTCCCTCTCCCCCACATTATTTTGAAATATGTCCCTGTTGCAGCTGTGTATCCTATTTAAAAATGTAAAAGGACCAAACACATGCCAAATGTCGTGGAAAAGGAAGAGGAATTGTGGTACACATTGAATAAAACATAAGGGTGGTAAGAATGTACAGTTATACCATACCCAACGGTGTATTGAGGCAGACACACTGCAAATCAAACCAGAAGTTTTCCACATCTTGCATGGTACTCAGGACATACAAGCGTCTCTCAAACGGGCGACTACTTTGAGCCAGGTTATAGTGAGGGTCACAGATCGTGGTGTCAACAATCACTGCGTTTCTCTTCATATACACAAATACCTGTCAAATAGAGCATGTGTCAGGTAGGTAAAAAGCCCTGGAATTGCCTAATTTACAGGCCAATCAACTAGTTAAGCAGYGGTTAGAATTGCTCAGTGTGCAATTTTGAGCCAGTACTCCAAGAAGAGACAGACACATTGCAAAGCATTCCTAAAATTACTTTGCCAGAGATCCAGAAATGGTATTTCTAGATTGAGAATGACAGTTTCTTTTTCCCCTTGTGCACCAGGACTATTCCAGGTTTCCAGAGACAATGATTATTTTCTACAAGCCTTCATTCAGAATGTGATGAATAGTTAGATCTGATTCAGGGCCTAATTAATTTTCTTATTCTTACAATTCTTGCAGTATGTCACTAGGAGTTTGAGGTTTGTATACACATTTCAAACATGAACATTTTACTCAATTATTTAAAGTGTTTAGAAACCTGAAAACTCATTTATCGCACTGAACAAATAGCAGAGTAAAAGTTAATTTCTCAGAAAATTACCTGATCTTTGTCTTGAAACTTCTCTGTTGGACCAAACTGAACTAGTCCCATATAACATAATCTTTGAAGGTTTTCTACCACCGAAAAGATGTACCTCCTGCAGCAGTGTTACAAGCATTACAATTAGCACTCTTGAAAACAGTAGTTACAAAGATACCAGAAAACACTATGTGACAGCCCCAAGTTTCAGGAAACTCTCTGCTTTTTAAAAAACATTGGGTTTATAGCATTTCTAAAGTGGTACTTTCTTTGAATCGTCAGCCTGCGGAAAACATAGGAAACACCAAAGCTCAGACATCCTTTCCTCAAGTCAGAAACACTATTATTATTTTAGACAAGAAGAGAATTTTGTTTCCAAAGAAACAAAAAGAATACTGAATCTAGTGGTGAGTCAAAAAGATCAGAACACAGGCAGATTTGCAGACAATTTTACATTAACAAAAGAAGTGAGAGTGAGACAAAATGACTCATAAATATGGGCTGAYAGAACTTCACGTTTATTCATATAAAGAAAGGGTCAGCAAACCCAAGATCTGTAGTTAAGGTTGTATAGAACTACTTGCTCTAAAACGGCTCTTAGTGGTCTGTAAGCTGTAGCAAAGCAAAAATTATGACAATTTCCATGCTGTGTATCTACTTCTTTAAAAAAAAAAAGAAAAAAAAGAAACATAAAATTCTGGAAGTTGCAGGAAGCTTTTGCAAGACTTAGTTTCTGAGATGGAGTATAGGAAAAATCCACTTTTGCACACATTTAAATTCACCTTCTAAGTTTTTCYATACTGTTTCATAGGACTTGTATTTTGGCAGGAGTGTTTTGCAAGGTTCAGAAAGGTCAATTGACAATCTCACAAATAATGATCCAATTTGGTAGTATTAGAAGTTATGATGAATGGAGGGGCAAAAAGGCCACTTGATGATGTACCACACTGATTTGCAAATAGCTGCCAGATGGAGTCTGAAGATATCAGAACATTTCAGCAATCCAGTATGCTCATTACTAGTATTTAGGAAGTAGCATGTTAGAAATTGTAAACTTGAGTAACGTGAGGCAACTAGACTGGATTTTTCTGAGGAGAAACCACTGCCACAAGAGCGACCAGCCTGACCACAAATCTTGGCAGCTGCCTCTGTCTAATACTACTCACTTGACAAAGAAATGTCTTCAGATTTGGAGAATGTGGTAAAAGCTTCCAACCAACCAAGTCCACAGCCATGGCAGTGGCTTCCTGGGGTACTAACAGCCTGATTAATACAGTAATGGACTCTGTAATAGTGCTGTGAATTCCACATATTCAAATCATTATGCTTTAATGTTGCTTTCCTTCCCTTTCCTCAATCCAATCTCAACCTCTAAATCTTTCAGATGAGGAATGGCAAAAAAATGGCAGATATGCCACCGAGAGCATGTGGGCAGAATCTAAATGGTATGCACGAGAGACTGGAGCTAGGGTATGTGGCATCTTCTGAGAGATTTATGAAGGACAGCAGCATTTAGACTCTATTAAATTCTGAATTTAGCAGCAGGAGTGTGTTTTGAACAGAAGCAACCGCCTGTTGATGAGTTGTGAAGGACAGAGTCTCCCAGCTCTCACAGACTGCCTGACAGCACRCATGAATATTGTTCATTAATTTATTATTACCTTCTATTTGAGAGAGAGAAATACAATTTTGCACACAGTCCTTAGAAGATGGATGACCTTTGTTTGAGATTACAAAGTTCTCTTTGAAACAAAGAGAAATAACACAAAAAACAGTCAACTGCTCTCCCTGGAGCCAGTAACTTTGACTCATCCGCTTACCTTTTATAGAGAAGCTGCTGTCGGACTGACCTTGGAAGAAATCTGATCAGCGTGTGCTTTTTCTGTGGATCGTTTAAAAAATCCTCAAGGCCATCAACCTAAAATTATTTTAGAAGTTAATCAAAATGTTTTAATCAAAAGTTAATCAAAATAATTATCCTTTAAACTATCTTACCAGATATGTTTGCATTTTTGAACAAATGTTACTGCTTTTGTAAAATAGCTGAATAAACATTATTCAAGTCCAATGAAAGGCTACAGAGATGGCTAGGGACTAGGCAATTTGAACATTTTCAACAGAGGAAAAGTTGAGAGAGCTGGGACTGTTTGGCCTAGAGAAGACTAAGGGGGAATCATCTGATGTGTCTAAACATCCTCAGGGAGGATGTAAGAGGATGGGACCAGAATCTTCTCAGTAGTGTCCAGCAACAGGACAACAGGCAGCAGGCACAAATTCAGGCACAGGAAATTCTGTCCAAATAAGAAGAAAAAGTCTTTTCCTGTGAGGGTGACTGAGGACTGGTACAGGTTCCCCAGAGAGGTTTCGGTGTCTCCATCCCTGGAGATAATCAAAAGCAACCTGCTCTAGGTGACCTTGCTTCAACAGGTCAGCTTGGGTTAGATGATCTCCAGGGATCCCTACAACCTCAGATTTCTGTGATTTTGTGACAGTCAGGAAGATTATAAAAAGCACTTTGAAAATACTTCCYGAGGGATTTGCTGCATTACAGGGCTGTACATTTTTTACAGTGTGGCTGTAAAAGCAAGGAACTAATATAAAAGGAAATATCAGTAACTAAAGCTTCTACTCACTGCTGGCTGATCTTCTTAAAACAGACTAACAGGGTATCTGTTACTGCTTATAGGAGATACTGTTGGATTTAAATTGAACCAAACGTGAAACAAAGAAAAGCACCTTTACCTTGTAGCTGACTTGCACTATCTGAACAAAGATGGAGAGGGGCAAGCAGAGCAGAATGTCACTAACAAGAGCCCATCCAAATCCAAATTCCCTATGAACTGGCAGAGGAGGGACGTAGCGCATCCAGGTCGCATCATCCACGTACACTAGGAACAAGAACATTGGCTTAGACTCGTACAGGGCAAACCCAGCACTTCATTTGGTCACRGGAGATGAGGAAACAAGGGCTACCTTTTAATGAATTTTACTGTGAGTGGCTGAAAACCACCAATATAACACATTCCTATGTTCTGAGATACAAAAAGGATGCTCACATCAAACCTATTATAACTGTAATAACATATATAATTATAACCTAAATAACTGTAATGAAGCTAGGATGTTMCACCTCTTACCTGTTTCATTAGACAATTCTACTTCAGTCTCTTGTGCAGTGATTTCAGGATACACCACAGTTGTCATACTTGGTGCAGTCCCATCTGTGGCCTCTGGTTGGGCTTGAAGTGCTGCAGCATTCATGTCCAGCCCTTGCTTGTTGGCTTTTTTCTCACCATCACTGCCTACTTTTTGTCGTGATCCATTTAAAGGGTGACCGTAAATTAAGTACCAGAGGAACAAGTGGACCATTCTTAAACGGGGCATTTTGGGAAGAAAGCCAAGCGAACGCCCAAGCCCGGGAACTATGAGGAAAGATTTAAGTACAAAAAAAAAAAAAAAAAAAAAAAAAAAAAAACAGGTAAAATAGCTACTTCTGCAAAAATGATGTGAAGGAACCTGGAAGAAAAGGCCAGCAAGTGAAGGTAAATATAAGTAACAAATGGAAGTGAAGGAGTAACAAATGAAAATACTCCATTTCACAATCGGTGCCCCCCTTGTAAGACACCTCTGGCAAAAGAACAAAACCAAAAAATACATACATTTTACAAGGGCCCCAAATCTGAAAGAGACTATTTAGTAATTGATGGAGAAGTGAAAGATGCCAGGAAAAAAAAAAATCAAGTGTACCTGTAACAGGGTGGTAATTTTTTAACTGTGTTATGCCCATTTTTTCATCTGTTTTCCTTGCCCGAAGATTATTTTCAGCTTTACAAGAGTTTTCTTCTGTTTCTCCTGACTCAGGGATGGCCTCTTGCCCTGAGTTCTCTTCATCAGCATGTTCYTGGGATGTTGGTGTCTGGGGAACTTTAATCCTGCATTAAAACCACACAGCATTTCTGTAGAACTAAATCTGATACTCATGCCTTATCTAAGTTGCACAGAGATGGCACCACCTAGGCTGGCCACTAAAAGAAATGCAAATCCYCTTTTTGAAAAGGAGGGTGGTTTTGAAGTTGATGCCACTAAAGAAGAGGTCCTTTAACAGGTTTATTCAGAAAGATAAGCCAAGCAGTGGAATTTATCATGCTAATTTTTCTTTTGCTTACTTGGTATTTATTTCCTCCATGTATTTTTGCGCGTATTAGATGTAATAAGTCAAATTTCACACAAACCACACAGACCGCTGCTACTTGCCTGTTTGCTGTGCTTGAATTGGAGATGCGGAAACGCACCTGCTCAATGGCACTTTTTACAAGGGGATCATTAGGGCTCACGGAAGGATGAACGACAAACTCTACCTGTTTAGAGCAGTAGAAAACAAAAGGTAGTTATGATATTAGTGGCTCTTAATCTGCTGCATAGTTTACCAGAGCTCAATAGCCGATTAAGTCCTCCAAATATTAAATATTTTGGTAAAAGGGCCCCAAACCCTTTGCTAAAGCCAGAGGACAAAAAAAAGGTGTTTCTGTTGCCAGAACTTGAGCAGTCACCTTTTTACTAATGCCATCTTGAATGACTGTAGTATGATAGAGTCTGAGGAGCCCTTCTCGTGAGAGCTTCTGCACCAGTCGGATGATAGACTTTTTGCAGCATTTGGTGGAGACGCCTTCCTGCTTCTCTTGATCCATGACCATTTTCTGAAGCCTGAAGATACAAACAGCATCTTGCACTTCAAGCCCAGCAGTGCTCCCAACTGCCCAACAAGTCCTTGCCTTACAGTAGCCTGAAGGAGCAAGTTCCCACCATGCTATGATAGCAGGTGCATTTATTCAGATACTTTTGTGTGAGTGCCTGGGCCCTATTTCTGACTCTTTCGCTGAAAAACAGTTCTAAACCCACTGGCAGCACTGAGGGAGATAGCAAAGACTTGAAATATCTTAGAAACCTGCTCTTGGACTTGGCTGGATGACCCATGATGATGCCGTTAGAGGTAGGCTCTAATTCCACAACACTTTGCAAGTGGACTAGAAGTCTCAAAATTATCAGACCAGATGAGGATAAAGCTAAGACCTCTTATTTAGTTCCTTTGGAAAGCAACCCAGGAAATCACATCCTGACACTGAAGGTGCAGTCAGATTTGCCACAGCAGTGTCTAGCTCATTTGGAAGCTGGGACTCCAGGATTTTAATTTCTCTTTTAATGAGGATCATAAAAAGCTAAAAGACGTTTTAACACTCAGGCTTATACCTCTAGTCCAAGGTAAGTTATGAGAAGGCCTATAACCAGTACACATAAAATGGAAAAAGAAGTTATATTTTGGGTCTCCACTAGAATCCTGATAGCCAATGACAACTGACTGACATGAAGATAAGAATCTCTACCATCAGTGATGGAATAGCAAAAGAAAAAAGTTTTGAAAGAAAGCAGAAATAAAATAAAGCCTGTGTACATCAATGTTGGGAAGTGCTGCCTCTTGCTACGTAACCCCAGCTACTGGCAGCCTGAAAGGAGGAAAAAAAAAGTCTCTGATGTCTCTTGATCAATGAGCATTTTCAGTCAGACTCACGTGAACAGGCTTTCAATTAGCCKGAGGTTTCGGACAGCTTCCACGATGAGATTCCGGCGCTTGAGCAGCCTGTAGGTCTCATGGGAGCGCTCCACAGCCGTTGCTCTGGATCGCTTCTCCTTCTTTTGGCCACAGATCTTTTCATGCACAGCATGGAGAAAATACAATTTTGCCCCATTGATTATTCAATCTTAGCAGCCTGATGTTAGCTCCTCATACAGCAGTGCCCAAGCAACTCATTTTTTTGATGTACTTATTTATAACAAACCCTGGTCATCTGGGAATTATTTTTTATCTATCCTTTGCAGGCAGGGAACCAAGGCAGAAACTCAGACTTCCACATATGCAGGAGTGGAGGTTTATGCCCTCAGTCTGCCCATGTTCCTACCCGGTTGAACTTGAGCGTGTTTTGGCATGGAAAGCTGACTGCATGAATGTAGCACYGAGCCCAGCCCAGCATATCCTGCCTCTCAGAAGGGCATCTCRGGCTCGGTCCTGTGACAGTGGGGCTACAAATGGGCTACTTGAATCTCTATGCCCATTTGCASCAGCTGGTGTAGAGGAGGTAGATGAACCAGGTGAAAAGCAGCACCTTTGGGCACAAATATAAAGCTGTGCCATGCATGAAGGAACATGTAGAACAGTAACAATCTGAACCCAGAACCTTCCTAACTACTGAAATATTTTAGATTTTAGATACTGCTGAGGCAGCACAAGCCTCAGTGTGACATGTTCAGGGTTTTTAGCAGAAAAAGCCACTTTTAGCCAGCTATATGCATTGGAAAGAAATCTCCATGCTTAAAAGAAAAACGGAATGATTACAGATTTTAGCAGTGGGTATGCATGGAGTYACATGGGTAAACAGAAATACAGAAAAACAAAAAAAAGACTCATTGATGAACACAAAATTAATAGCTTGAAGATCTGCTGTAATGTACATTACTGCTCAGACAGCCGTACCAACAATAAAATGTTACACGTTAAGATCTTACCTTGGGGTCTTCAAGTCTGACCTCCTCAACCACAGCYATATCCCCATCTTCATCAGTGGCTTGAGCACAAGTGGAAAGACTGGGCTCCTGCTTCAGAGCTTCCAAAGCAGAATTCTCCCCTGCAAAGTTGTCTGGTGGCTCATGCTCTTCAGGAATACCAGGAGAAGGCAGCTTCTTCTCTATGGATTTCACAGCTGCTGGCTTTGAGCCTGGTTTAAGAGTAGAAAGCCAAAAAATGGGCCTTGTAATTGTATAGAGGCAAACTAGAAAGATCAATACCATGCAGTTTCAACTGAAAAAAAATAAAAGGCTTGGCAGCTCCTGTGTTACTTCCTGCACCTAAAACATTTGCATATCTAATGGACTAAACCAGTGCATTTTATTGAGAAGCACAGCTTCTGTGTCCTTAGTGAAGAAGGAATAAAACACATTTCTAGAACTATGAAGTCTGTCCAAATCCTCTCTATCAACCTAAGTTGTAAGATACTTTGAAAAACAGGGCCTGTCACCATCTCCTAGAACTAAGGGAAATAAAAATTTTAAAAAATCCACAGCTGTGGCTCCTGCCAGGAGCTCAAGCCAAACTGGCTGCCATGAACTCTCCATTGCAACCATTCCTGTTAGACAAAAAMAAATATAAGAYCAAACTAAAACTTAATGGAAGTGAWTAGCATAGGAAATTTAGGAAAAGATCTATCAGAAAAATGCAGGATTCTCTCCAAACCTCCACGATCTACCTTTAGTTGGTGTTGACTGATTGGGACCACCTCGGAAACTTAATTTCAACAGAGAACTTGAGTTGGCCTTCTGACCTTTTCCCTTCTTCTTGCTGTATTTCACTTCTTCATCATTGTCAGACTCTGAGAGAAAGGTGTCTTCTTCTGCAGGAAACACATCTTCCACAGAGGGGGAATCTTCTGGCACTAGACCCAAGGTAACTGTAGCTAACTGCTCACTTCGAGCTTTCTCTCTCTCAAACTGACGGTTTAAATCGCTCTCTTCTGCAAAAATGTATGAAATATATTTTGTTGTCCTCTGGCGACCTTCATCCTCCATAAAACCCTAAAAAATGAGAAGAACGTTATTTTACTACCTTGCTTCTCCATCCTTGCATCTGTCCTCCAGTGTCAGCAGTGGGAAAATGTTCTGACTGTTCTCAGCTCTACCAAAGGCAAATACTGAGCCCGTGTGCTTGGGGCTGTGTTAGGAAAGACAGCTAAAGACCCCTCTACTTCACTTGAGTTACTGAAGTCATTCAGTGCTGTCAGCAGGAAGCAGTCGAGGCCAAGTGAAGCAGTGCTGAGGCCTATTTCTCTGCCCTGGCTTGTCTTGGAGGATAAACACTGGTTCACAGTGCTGGAGACAATGCTCCTACATAAGTAATTAAGACTGGGGGAAAATGCACATTATCATTTATCTAGTGACTGTTAGAGTAAATGTTCTGTTGATCCAGCCCAGCTGGTGGGATTCTGCTAAGCCCAGCTTTGCACCCAATCACAGAAAACAGAAAACACTTGTACATCTGGATCACTGAAATATTAAATGTCAGGACATCTAACCAGAAAACAGCACAGAACACATAAGCCAGGAGACCAGATATACCACATTCTGCCAACTAGGCTTAGTCATCAGGCTATAGTTATAGTAATTCAAATTGTATTTTAACTGAATGTTTTTAAACACTTCTCTTGCATCTCTTTTCCTCAACTGAAGTCATGATTTCTTCTATCCCACCAAAACTCTTTTGCTTGTAATTGTCAGATCCCTTCCATTTCTGTTTTATGAGGTTAGCAAAGTTTTAGCACTGTCATAGTAATCTCATCATAATTCCAGTATTAAAAAGTATCTGATTTTTTTTTGGCATTACCTTGACAACTTTGTATCTCTCCAGCAGACGACAGAGCATTCGCGCTTCCAGCTTCCCCACATTCATGGCCATTCGAATCTCTGCCTGAGAAATACCTTTGGTTCCCCTGCTTTCAACTATTTTAGGAAAGAAAACCAGRAAACATCTCAGAAATAACGTGACTGAACTACAAATGTATACATTATCATATATATTCATGTTGAGTATCTGTCATTAACTTAAACTTGTCCTMAAACTATATAATTTGGAAACATATGCCAGAATATGAACCAAAAAAAAAAAAAAAACCCAGAACAAAAGACAACTAAAGAATCTTCATAGGAACACACAATATATAGTTAAACAGTGAGGTTTTTTAGGGTTGTTTTGCAGGGAAAAGGTATTTTTAAAAAATGGTAGAAGTGAATTTAAGATACTTTGATGTTCTGGTCAACCATGACAAGTGAAGGTGAGGTCTTAAGATTAAAGGCTGGATGTTAAAAGTGGACGTTTCCCCTGACAGCTTTTTACTGTCAGATATCTGGGTTTTTTTTTCCATTATGAAAGGCAAAACGGTAAGAAGAGAAGAAGAAACTATTTTCTTCCTCACTTTTTCTCACCCCAGCACAAAATCCTGCTTCTGTCCCTCCTCACCATCTTACTTCGGGGGTCCTGAGTAACAAATGGCAGCACTGGAAAGGAAGCCCAGTCACAAGGCAGCAACCACCACTGCACTAAGAGCGGGGAAAAGCCTGAAGTCCTACCCCACACACAATTATGGAAAAATAGATTCTGAGTTCTTGTCTAAATTGTGAAAAAGGCCCAATGAAAAGCACATTAGCCCGAGTGAAAAACAAAACAAAGCAGAAAAACCCAGCAACATGAACTGTGTTTCATTTCCTTTAAAGACAAATCAGCTTGCAAGGTATTTTAAAAAGCATGAAGTTCTTTCCTGCCCGTAAAGGGGCAAGACACAAAAAGATGAACTAGTACGGGAAATACTTAATGCTAAAAGATTTTAACACCTGCATGTTTTCTGAATTCCAATAAAAAGCTGATGTTTTGAATCAAAGAAATCATGCTAAAGATTTAGCATCACGTTCATCATCAGCATCAAGGGAGGCCCAGCTCTGATCRGCACTGGCTTGCTCTAGCTTGAAGTTTCTGACTATCCCAACAGGTGCCCCAGAAGGCAGCAGAAAAGTCTTTTCCCCTTCTTAAACATGGAGACACATGCACAGAATGTTACTGCATCACCTACTTAACTCGTAAGCCTGGGTGAGCATATCCCTTTCACAAACAATATCCACAGGCGGAACAGCTTTGGTGATGATCTCCTCTTCGTCATCGTCATGATAATCTTCCATTTTCTTTCGAAATTCCTTTAGCAGTTTAAGGCAACGGACCATGACATCAGTCCCTGTAGATATGAATATGAGCATTAACATTCCTGAATAGGGCTGGGAGGAGGGAAGGAGAGGGGGARGAAAAGGAGGGGTAGAAATCCAAATCATTTCATTTATTTCATAAGTACAAATGTAGGGCAAAATGGCAACAAAAGGCTCATTTCTAGAAAAGGATTGCAACGGTTTTTCCATATACATGAATGTGTCAAAATACTGACTAGAAGAATTTTTGAGATGCTCCTAAAACTTGTACACCTCTACCCATATTTGAGGTGCCCAATACAAGGACCTATGACAGGAATGGAAAAAGCTGCTGAATGAAGAGAAATAATGGTAAAAATTAATTAATGAAATGAGTAAGTGTCGATCTACAGAGTTCCATCACCAGAGCACCAACATGACTGTGAGCATCCCCATGGACATGGCCTTTCCTCAGCAGCTTACCAAAGCAGACACTAGTGGGTAGGCTTTGTTGGGGGCTGCCCCAGTTACCAACATTTAAAAGTCCTGGGTCCTAAGGGAACTCTCTGTGCATCTCTCTTGCATCCCAGCAAATTCGGCAGTGCCTCAGCTCTATTAATGAAGCTCACTGTGCAGCTGTGTATGAAAAGCTAAATTTACAGGTTTCTTACCCCATATCCTAAACTACTTTCTGCACTTAGGGCTACTTTGCATAATACTTGATGTACTATAATATGCAATGAAAACAGAGAAAGCTTTCTGCTCGTAAATATGATTTAATTACACATCTTCAGTAGTTACCATGCACTAGCTTTGCAACAGCCACCCTCCTCCTGCTCTGCCCTTCTGGGATCTTACAGAGCAGGGGGAATGTGACTTTGGGAGAGCTGTAATGGTCCTCCTTCCTGATACAAGAAAGTGTTGGTATCATCAGTGCCATTCAACAGCTGCTGATCCATTCAGAGACCAGTGTTTAAGGTAAGCTAATACTGGGCTACTGTGCACTGCCAGCTTGTAAAGAGCAGCAATTCAGCAGCTACCGCAGGAGCAGCCAATTCATCTTGCAGCAGTGGATGTGAAACCTCTAGAGCCATCTCTGCTCCTCTGGCAGAGCTCTGCTCTGTGATAAATGCCAGCAAAGGGCTTTAGTTGAAAATCCTTTTCATTGAGGTTTCAGTTAATGAATTTTATGTCTGTATATGATCAGTTACTGAAGCCTCGCTGACATCAAGTTAACCCACAGTAACTTAATCATACAACAAAACTCCAGGACAGATGCTGCTATTATTTTTTCCACAATTTGAATTCTTTTGCTGCCAGATACTGTTTAGAGTAGTAATAAGGCTCTGACAATCTGGCAGGGGCTGTAGGCACTGTTACAGGGTCCTCTGTGTTTCTACAGCCCATTAGTTTTCATTTCAAGTAGTATTGGAAAAAGCATTTCTTTTTACTTCAGCTCATGCTGCTCAATAATGTGCTTCCCATGGCAGATGCTCTGGCTTCATCCTCTTTGAGTCCCATATATTTCTATCTACTTTCCTGTATAATTCCAGAGTAAAGAATCTTGAACTCAGCCATTATTCTGAGCCATGGATAAAGCTCAGCCATTATTATTTCATCCTAGTCCAACATCTAGTTTTTAAGGCATTTGGTGAATTTTCTACATGAATAAGTTAAGATGGAATAATCATTCAAGTTAAATATTCATCTGCTCATATTTCTACATATTTTAAGCCATAAATGCAGCAAAGCATCTAGTGTCTTGTGTATTGCCACCAAGTTTATAAATAGACTTATTGTATTTCCTTGTTTCCTAATTAGAAACTCAAATTGGAAAATTTGTTTTTATTAATGATTATAAATCCAATCTTTTTCATGTGCTCTAGTCTTTTGGGGTTTATCTGCAAATGTCTTGAATTCATTAGAGCAGCTCTGACACTGCTTTCAGGACGGGGAAGTATAAATAAACATGACCTGGGATAGTAGGACTTGAGGACAATACAGCAGAGGCGCTAGGTTTTTGTTCATGACGATGACAAACAGCAGCTAAGTGGCTAAAGGTGTCTTTGTATGACAAGCTGCTGTGAGTCAAGACACTTGCTTAAACCAGAAATATATTAACCATGCACAATACATATTTTATAAAAGTTTGATGATAATTTTTTCATATCCTGATTCAGGCTGGAATACCTTTGAAGACCTGCAATGCCCTCCTGAAACTCAGCTTCTTACCGGAATGTTGCTCGGTACATCACCCTCTGACATTTTTAGGGGATGGAGGTGTATATATTATAACAAATGATTTTCCCAGGCAAATGTTGCTTGTACTGAATGGAACTCCTTCAGGCACTTCTTTAARTATTCAGTACAGCACAGGAGAATTCTCACATACCTGGCTGCATATTGTAGCTACTTTAGACCATTGCTTTTTTTTGTTCACAATATAATTTCCCTGCTTACATATTTCCTTCACTCATACTAAAGAGATTTAAAATAACTGTCTTATCAAGAGCCTTAATCTGTCCTCCCTGTAATTGCACTCAGTCTCTGCTTTTCAAAATTCCCATGTTTTGTTGACTCTTTCACTTCTTCCTTTATGATGCAAATAATCTTCCTTTATAATCATTTTACTGCTGAGAGCTGTCTCGCTTGTCATAAGAAATAATATATTTTTGCACAAACAGTTCACTGCATTTCTGAAAAACACACACTCAGTTCAAGCTGGCTGCAGTGTTACAGGTTTATTAACACATTTCTCTAAATAACTGCAAAGAGTTAAGCTTTCACTCAAGTATGTTATAATTCAAGATTTGAAGTTTGTATATTAAATGGAATAACTAGAATTATAGGAAAAGCAGGAATACGGTTCCTTACCTTTCTTTGTCTTGTGGGGTCCTCCATCAGGGTGTATATTTTGTAAAGGGATAGATATTACCTTGGCTAAGCCAGCATTCATCATATACTGATACAGGCGCTTGAAAGTTCTTTCACAAAGACCCTAATGCAAAGAGCAATGACAAAAGTCATCGCTGTAGTCCAAAACACTGTATTTCAGGAAATCCATAGAACTGTACTTTGATCTTCACAAAAAAGCAGACRTAAAAATCACAGGGCCAAACAGCTCTCTATCTTCATGATCTTTTTCTACAAAAAATGCCTATTCTTTGTGTGATTAATGCAAGAGACATTCATACTGCCGCTAGTGCAGATACCAGGCAGAGGTAGAGGTGCTTCTTCATGGTGTTATGTCTGAGACTTCCTTGCTCTGTCCTCCAAAGAAGCAGTAGTGATCAAACACAAGAACAGCACAAGGATCTTATTGCCTAGATATGACAGAAAATCTCTTTCTGTGACAGACTTCTTTCTGAAGCTGTGAACTGAATAGAAAGCCTTCTTTATGACAGGCCAGGAGAGTAACCTGATCTAGAGCAAGAGACTAGTTGCTCATGAGATTTTTTTTTTTTTTTTTTTTAAGATTCTATAAACTAGCAGGTTCCTAAGATCTTTGTTTTGATGGATTTTTTTCTAGCCCTAAAACTGATTGTGCAAAGTTAGAAACAGGCAGTATGAATGTGTGATTTTGATAGTAATCATTTAGATTACATAAAAATATGTGTGAAAAATTAGGCAAAAAAACCCACCAACACAATCTTACCAATTCTTCTCTCAAGTTTCCTAATGTTTCCATCTGGTTTGAACGGGTGCTTAGCATACTTGAGAGCTTCTCCATGAGAATATCATATTTACTCCGCCTAACCAAGAAAATATTATTTAACATATAAGCATGGGTATAACTTTAAAAACACAAGGTGTATACCATCACAAAATAGTCACTAGTGGATGTAACCTGATAAATGTTTTAGGAATTATGCTTTTTTTTTTTTTCTTGCTACGATTAGATTTCTAACCAGGGAAGTTCATGGTTGTGTGACATGAGGGAAATCTTTCATCATACTAAAAGATCACAGTACATGCTGGAGATACTACAGAAATCTGCGTGGCACATACCTGTCAACATGAAAGCGAGTCAGAAGCAAAAGAATGGAGTGCTGCTGTGCTCCAGTTGGTAGTCTTATGACATGGGACTGCATTGTTATGAGACCATTTCTGTCCAGTACTCTTCTGTGATAATGGATTTTTCCAGCATCCACTCTAAAAAAAGATGGCAAGAGCTTTACAGTAATGGGAGATTGTGCAAAAACACTGTGTTCCAACAACCTTCATCTCAATTAACTATGGTCTTAAAGACACATATTCTTTTAACTTTTAAAGTGATGTTCTCAAAATTAGGACGTGCCAAAAGTGAGACAGCCRGTAAACTTTAATTCACTCTACAAAGCGTTTTCTATTACATTCACTTATTTCCTGCTCACTGAACTAGACAAATGCCTTTATACAGAGAGAGTAAATTCATTAATGAATTAAGCTTAAATTGTTTCAGAATGGGGGATGTGAATTACACAGCAATAAAGTCTTCTAGGTAAATGAGTTGGACACAGCCTTGTAAACTTGATGCTCTTCTTGCTTTAAAATTAAGTTTTTATACAATGATAAACAAGCCATTTAAAAAGAAGCTTTTCAGAGCAGCTATTAAGTGGGAACTCTATTTTTAGCCACATAATTTAAGGCACTATGACCTAGATTCTACCATAGCAACAGTAGGAAAATTATTACCTCTGCACCTGCAGTGCTGATAGACTGCAAATAGAATATAGAACCCAATACGCTCCTCTGGAAAATACTATGGAGAGACATTTTTACAGCTTTCCTCTGAACTATGTGCTGGAAAACAAGCTTTAATACAAAATATATGAAAAAACATAACTAATTCTTTTTTTAACACAGGAGATTTGACAGTGTTTTTAATCTCTGTTTATGGATAATCACAGCATAGAAGTAAGTGCCTCTCAATTTCTGATTTTTCTATAGCATTAAGAAAGTGCCTATTTCTACAGAGAATTTGCAGCATGATCTGCCTATTTTGCCTCTTGTCCTTTGAAACAAGAAGTGGGGGGCACTGGCTGTGATGACCTGGACGTGACTTGCATACTGAATTCCCTCCAACTCGAGCAACACTGAACGCACACAGTAGCTTCCTTCCTTCTGTTCCCTGCACCACGTTCAGTTATCTGAGAAGTGAAGTCCTTTAAAGCTTCCAGCCTTCTGTAATGCACTTGCATGYAGACTCACAGAACCATGCGGGTTTAAATAAATCTCTAGAGTTTCAAGTCCAATCCTATGCTCAAAGCAGGTCCAGGTAGAGCAAGATCAGTGTCTTGTTTAGCTGAGGTCTGAATATCCCCAAGGATGGAAATGTCACAGCCTCTCTGGGTCTCTGCTCCAATATGTGACCACCCTCACAAGAAAAAAAAATGCCATATCTATTTGAATTTCTTGGATTCTAATTTGTCTATTGCCTTTCTATCCCTATGCACCTCAGAGCAAAGTCTGGCTCTGTCTCCTCGACATCCTCCGATTAGGTCGTTTAATGTAAGACTATCTCTTAGCTTCCCCTTTCTAAGCTGAATAATTGCATTGTATTCAGAAAGTCAGGTAGGACCATTAACTTTTAAATTCTATGAAAATAATAAAACAGAAAGCTGTTCTTAACCATTTGAGTTCATAAAAATAAGTAAACAAAACCTTGTAAGTCTAAACAATTTTTTAAACAATATATTTCAACCCCAGCAGCAGTGAATCCTTAACAGTGATGCTCTGCAGCACTGCTGTACTAAGCCAAAGGTTCCCTAAGAGGTTGTGTCGTGCTCTTCCACAACAAAATGTGAAGTTTGGCGGCTGGTAGCTCAGGCTTCCAGCCAAGTGAYGTAGGGCCATGTGTGCCACAGGGCAACAACCACTAGCCAGAACACCCCTGGCTTGCAACCAGAATGGCAAAGGTTAGGCATCTCTTAATGACAYGCGCAGAATAACTTGCTTACTCAGCAGCTTAAAAAAGGAAATGAAAACACCCTTTCAGATGAAATTTAAAAGAGGTCATTTAGAGACCTGCTCTATGACTTCAAGGAGACCAACACCTCTAGTAACACAGACTCAAGAACCAAAGTGCTCCTGTCACAGTAAGGATGAGACAATCCTGAAACAGGTTTGAGTTTCACTCAATACACAGAATCCTTATCCGGACAGAAATTTTAGRTAACTCATGGAACATATTAGCTTCAATTTAGTTTGCGTAATAAAACCTGAACTTACTTGAAAGCTCCACTGTGAAGGTCCCTCTGAAGCTCTCCTTGCCACCGAGCACGACCTAAACGCTCCAATATGCAATAGGAGAAGTCAGGGAGTTTTAAGTCGGGATCTCCTTCCCAGCCTATTAAAGCTCTGTAACGCTGGTCTTGGGAAGCAACAATAACTAGTTTCTCTCCCCATCTATGAAACAGAATGAAAAATAAGAAAAAAAATGTGAATGCATATGTTACAGAATCCTATGGACTACAGTACAGACAGGACCGAGGTAACACAYAATCTGAAAGAAAATGAGTGGTGTCTAAGCTTCAAAGTTAAAGTTTTCTGTACTGTTAAAATGCAGGTAGAGTTTTTAGTTGTTAACATGAGAAATAGCCACAGAGATGCTAGGTCAGACGAAGTAGATGTTATAGTCCTTGCACCTGCTTTAATGCATACACTAACTATTTAAGTAACCAGCAGCTCAAACTTGTTCATAAGGATTATCCATAACTTGCATTTTCACCAATTAATTAATGTATTCACTGAGCTCCCTGAAGTTACTGCTGTGTCAGACATCAAGTGTCTATTCCTTGCAGCAGCAGGATTTGAATACTACTCTTAACCTGTTTTTTTGGCTTTTACCATTTTTTTTCCTTTTACTAAAAAACTTCTGAATAGAATCGCCTCCTGAAGTAAATATCTAATAGCTCAGCTAGCTGTGAAACGTGACTGCAGATACACTTTAGCAGCATTATTACAATAACAAGAAACATTCAGTATCTGTCATTAATTCCTCTCTACCTGACTGTCATTCAAAAGTCATTYGAAATTTTAAGGCATATCAAAATTGTACTCACTTTTCGACAGCTTCTGTGTACGTACAACAAGGCTGCAAATCCTTCGTCCTTATTTGATCAGTAATATTTATTCTCTCTTTAAAATACTGGCAAGACCCTTGTATGCCATCTTTATTATCCAAAATCATGTGGACTGGATAAATATCATCTAAAGGAATGGGATCTCTTTTTGTTTCCAGGATTCCTGTCTCAAGGTCTATTTCTTCGTATCTGAAAGAAACCCAGAGTCAACATTTAAAGAAGCAGCAGGAATTTGGTGTCACCATCAAATATCTTGGGGGGAAAAAAAAAAAAGGAAAAAATAAAAAGCAGACTCGAAATTGGCAAACCAGGTAGTTAGAATGGCAGCCTCCAAATAAGACCAGCCCGCCAGTGTGGGCACACGCAGGGCACACAAGGGGAGCAGGCAGCAGGTTCATTATTTGCTTTTSTAGAATTCAAGAACATTGCAGTGTCTGGGGCAAAAGAAACGCAATGCGCACTGGTGTACAGGAAAGGAAAAGCAGCCCCGTATCGGGCAGGGGAGCGGTTTTGGGACCCGGAACGCGCCCAGGAAGGGTCTGGGGGAGCCCGGTCACCCCTGGGGGTCGCGCTGGGAGCAGCCCCCGCCGCCATCCCGGCGGCTGCGGGCGGGCCCCGGGCCGGGAGCTGGGCC